TGGAAGAACTCGGAGTCCACAAATTGTGCGTTAATCGATGTCCTTTCACACAATGTTTCTTTGAAAATAATCCTCATTTCTCATTCTACTAAGGTTTCGTTGACCTTTTAAAAATTGTCGTGAGAAACCTTTGTTTTATGAAACAAGCTTTTACAATTTACTAGCTTACGCTTCTACAACTATAACCTACACCACAATCTTTATAGTGTTCATTTTTTACACATGGATTTCGTCTACTTTGTTTCAAACGACCAGTCTTCACATCTACTGTGCGGATCGCAGCATTTCTAGGATTCGATTCGTTCCTTGCTTGTAATGTTCACAGAGATCATCGATCTCACAATGCTTTAACGTTTATTCAGTCCCTAGTCGTTTTTTTCCATGTCGCTGCATTATTTGAAATACAACCACGAGGATGCTGAGATATGAGGACGGTAAAGAGCATCATGATTTCGACTGCAGTTTGACCTTAATTGCGTTGAATGCTGATTTGTACAAACCAGATGATTTGAGCGGTAGATGCTGATAGCACTGATGGAGTAAAAACTGCTTGTGAGGAAGGCAAAGCAAGGGCATCAGTTGATGTAGTGAATAACACAAGGACCATCGGAAAGGGTAATTTGTGATTCGAAGCGCACCCGAGGTTCCGCGTTTTGCTTTTGTCCCAGTATTCATGTGATCTTCGAACTATTAACAGGTGGGTTCGGTTGGTGCTTGAAGATTCTCTTCCTTTTTAAGAATGTCTAAGTGCTGGTCGGGTCGGCAGTCCCTGGATAGCTGAACTAGGGCGTTCTCAAAGACCTATTGGTCATGAGGTGCCACACCGTTTGACTACTCATTTTGCCACTGGCTCCATCATCATGGCTTTATCCTGCTCTCCGATTCACCTTCTTCGGACTCCTCAACCAGAATCGAGTTTCTTGTTGTGCTCAGCATCTTAAACGTCTTCTTGCTCGATGTTGGTGAGCAAACGTTCGAAGAATGGAATCCGATTTAAAAATATGAAATTTATTTTTTGACCAATAACTGGACGTCCTCTCCTATACAATCCATGACGAGTCGAACTTGTATTATAAAATGGGTGAATATTAGAGACCTATGCATGTTTGTATGCATATATATATATATATAATATGGAATTAAAAAAGGCACTTGCCTACTAAGGACTACCAGCTCTGTAGTTGAATGATGGACCAGTTTTCTTATTGTTATTACACATGAGAGTTATAAATGTTCTAAAAACATGGAGGAATTAATAGATGAATATATGAAACAAAGCACAATGGAATACTAATAAAACACGTACAACAACCCAATTACACAAATGCAACAAGAAGGACCAAGGCCGTATTGTATGAACTTGGATGACCGTCATGAGTCACATATATTGAGTGGTGCGCTGCGAAAAGCACCCGATATTATGTCCTAAGATCTTTCCATGAAGTGGTCGGTCCCGTAAATGTCAGTGACATCTTTGAGCCCAAATATTTAGGGCTGAGAATTTACTAATGCTGGACGGATTTACTAATTTTTCTGCCTTTTAAATTGTTGCATTCATTCATTTTGTGTGATTTCATTTAACATGGTTGTTCCATTCTTAGAGATCGCTCCGCGAAAGCAGGTAAGTCACTCATCATTCCTAATCGCGAGCAATTTCTAAAGGTGTTTGTTCCGCTTCTAGAAACCGTACTGTTCACTGCGTGTTTGGTATTTCTGCTAAATGACGAAGACCACTTCACCAAAAAGTGAGATATTTTCGTATCTCTTCGGCGGATTACTAAGATTTTAGTAAAATTGTGACTGTTTGGATGCACTGCCCCAATCCTGCTATTCTCTATTGATGCTATGCCCTACACTATTGACGCAACGACCATGAGTCTTTAAGCTACAGTTTTCTAAGAATTTTAAAAGGTAACTGTAACCCGACTATTTTCACTCAATATTGAACCACTTTTGTGAAAAATTTTGCTACGTCCAAATTTCTCAGAAACTCAATCACAAGGTTGACTGAACTACTGCGGTACTTATGTTGTTTAACATTTATGCTGTTCTTGTTGCCTATTCTTTTTTCATGGTAGGGTATAACGTGTTATACAACCACAACGGTGCTGGGATATGAGGATAACTCAGAACGTCCGATGCTGGGATATGAGGATAACTCGGAACGTCAGGTGGGGTTCCAACGCGGGATTATCTTAGCCGGGTGCTCACTTGCTGTCTATGACAGCGGCCGACACCAGTCTTTCTCTCGGCAATGTCTTTACTTTGTCAGTGCTGTCAGCAATCACTCGTCAACAGAAGTGTTATGGCAGAAGCATATAAGCCCTCGATAAGGGTGACCACCTCATTTTCCGACTGTGTTCATATCATAAAATTCTTGTGATTATACTACGATGCCATTTTGTCAAAATTGTTTGGGACCGGTTCTGAGAATGTGCTCTGAAAACTGGAGTTGAAAAATCTAAGGAAAAGTCGAGAGATCATCACAAAGAAGCTTAACACATTCTCCAAGAGCTATACGCTTGAAGAATTGAAATCTTTACGCACTAGTAGAACATGCTTTTCTCCATAGCTCTAATAGCATCTCGGTTTTAAATATGTTTTAGATCCAGGTTAGTGTAGGAACAACTCAAGACCAAATCTAAATTCCTCATATTTTCAATGTCAGTATGGCAGCTTTAAATATGAACGATGAATTTGGAGACACCACCTTTTCCATCGAAATCATATTCTTCTATCACTTTCCAGATGAAAGCCCATATGAAAGGCAGATGAAACAGAAATTTTTTATTGGTTTAGAACAGGAAAGCTTCTGACTCATTGGCGAAGACCCGTAGATAGTAATGGTTTCTAAACTGACAAGCTTTTTCGAATGCAGGCATATACGAACTCCTTACGTTTAAAGTTGAAAAATGTCTCATTGCACATGTTAGCGAGATGCGTTTGGAAAGACAGCGTCCGTTTATTCATTGTTGGCTGCCGCGAACACCAAAACAGAAGTTGACGTGATGTAGGATTTACTTCAAGGTGTCGAAAACTTGGTAGATTTCGTACAATGTGAAGCTCCTAACAGAAAAGTGCCGAGGTGATGCCCAGACCTTTTCAAGAAAACCCTAAAAATATCGCATTCCTGGTTTGTTTAAGGGGCAGATTTAACGAATAAACCCTTCTCTTTTTTTCATTTAAGAAACCGTCTGTTGTAGAACTGACCCTTTCCCAAACTCTGCAAGCTACAAGGTTTCTGTTCAACAGCGTCAAAGCGAATACTGCTCTATAAGCATTTGTTAGCCAAGAACAATAGCAATCTTTCGTACAAATCAAAGCTAGTTCGTATCGCAAGGTTACAGACAACAAACGGCGTATACAAAATGTTGGTAGTATTTGATAATCGCAATTTTGAATTATTACTTACTGCCCACTCTTTTTAATCACAAGGTATATTGCAAAATAATGATGCTGAGATATTTGCAAAACTCAGATCAATCCCGCCGACGTGTGATTGCTGATGGCAGTGATCGATAGAAATAGCTGAGAGGCAGGGGAAACGGAAGACCCACTTAGCCCCCGGAAAGGGTAATAGTGCGTTCGCTCCCCACCGCAAGCACCTTTGGTCCGGAGTATGAATAGATATAAATAGAAATATCTCAGCATTATTAAAGTTATATTTGATAATCGTTTGATTGACCACACAAAGGAAATATCGGTCTGTACAGTCTTAACCCACGAATTTCTCTCACACAGGAATCTCATGCCGATTAATACCCGGGCAACGTGGCGCGTCCAGGTGACGGACAAGGGGTTAATTGCATACCAAAAGTGGCCTTATGCTCCCTTGCGACAGAAGTAGCTCTAAGGAATGAACTTCCTTCTTTTCCTGCACCGATTTAGCATATACAGTGTTTGATCGCAAAGACATATTCTATTAGTCAAACACTCAAACATATGCATGTGGGCGTGGATGCGTCCTCACCTACGCGGGTTGTATTCTACGAGTCAATTTCGCCAAAATCCCGCAATCAAGTGGCAGGGAAGTGCATAGGAAGCGATTAGCTGTACCAAATGAGCTCCTGTCTACTCCGAGAAAGACATGCAAGCTACCCTTGAGTATAGCCACTGCTAGCGCTCAAACCTCAGCTAACTATGGTATCAAACATTAAACACAGTAAGATTAATGGGTCTCGTTCTCCTGACCCCGAAAGAGCACCTAGTATGGCAGCGTTAAGCAGGACGAGTATGGAGATGCTGCTAAAATCTCAGGGCCATTATAGTGAAGAAAGAAAGCTGGCAGACATAGTGAATAACATCTGTACAACTGCTAACTAACGAACTGTATTTGTTTGAATTATCCTTTACAGGGCTTCGCTCGAGAACTCGTGATGTGGCTATCCCAGAGATGGCGGTTGGGCCAAACATTTGGGATTTATGGAATCGCGTATCATATCAGGTTTTCGAGTGAGACTACAACCAGAGCTTCACATAGTAGTAAAATAACTTTTAGTATGGCCAAAAATTTTGCTAGCAAACTAACGATCTACCAAAATAACTCAGTTCTCCGTTGCGTATGAGGATACGAGGGCATATAGCTCAGTGGCTAGTGGGTACCTGCACGAGCCTACAATACACACGTGGTCCTTGGTTCAATCCTGCATCCCACGTCCGCTATCGTTTCGGTGTCGCCAAATTGGTGGAGATTTGTTCCGGATTATAAGGAAAGTGGCCACCCCAAGTAGTTGTGAAAGACAGATGTGTATTCAGCCACCTCCAGCAATATTCGACGAAGTCGAAATCTTGGAGCATCCACGGGGATTGATCAACGCTGAATTCTTTATCTCTTATGTTAAGAGGAAAAGATAGACTATTAGTGACCACGGAATAAAAAGGCAAATTGGACCAAGTTGATTATTATTTAAGAGATAGCACAGTGGATCATGGCCACAAAGCTTTTAAATTGTGAAAAAATTCCTGCCTTACTTGTGAAATTTGAAATCTTAGCTTCACAAATGAATGACAAGAAAACTGGTCTGAAACAGAAAGCGGTGATGATGGCACATTTCAGGGCAATTGCTCTCGACGAACTGCGGCTTTCACAGCGTGATCCAGCTCATCAATTGGAGAACACCTGGTTATGCGTACCACAACTCATTTCTAATCTCGCATGCCTCACGAGCGCCTCTCCTCCTGGAGTGAGTATTAAATTGTGCCCTGTGATAATGATCTTGGTATTCTAAGAAGTCCAATAAGAGCGTGAGAGAAGTTTATACTATAAATACACTCAAATAGAAGCTACAAGCGGAAAAGTTAAAGAAATCACGATATTCACCGATCTCCATCTTAATAGTCGGAACGTCAATCCACCAGCTGTTTATTTAGGTTATCATTGGCGTCGCGGTGCTGACATACACATGATTTCTAAATTATGCAAAAAGCTTTAAAAAGCAGTTGAGCCATCCATAATCCGCGGATAACTTACGTGTGATGGAAGAGAGATAGCCTCGGCAAAATCAAGGAAAAAAATCATCTGATGGCCTTGTCAACGTAAACTGCGAATATATAAACCTTTCAAAAACATGGGCATCGACCAGCCTCTTGTCTATTAGAGGAAAAGTGGCTTCGTGAATTAATCCCACATGAGAGATACAAGTGTGGCACCAGAGACTGCAACAACCTAAAGTAAGTGAAAATGCATGAGTCTGAGGCTTAGGTTCACTGGAGTTTTATTCACATGGAAAGAATTAAAGTATCTCAAATAGCCATTTGTTCTAAGATGTCATTTAACAGTTAAAGAAAAGAAGGCCTCGTTGTTTTGTTATGTGAAATCTAAATGGCAAGCAGGTGAAAACTGTGTCGTGCAGAGCAAATGCAGTGAAAGTCTTTCTTTAGATTATTTCAACACTTACCCCATGAAAAATCAATTGTAAAACGCAACGGTGGTAAAAACCTGTGCATTATGAATGCTGCAGAGTTGTAACAGTTCTAATTTTATATAAATTGTGTGTAAGAAGAATGCGTTGGAAATGCGGGGGTTGTGAAGGCCGTGTTAGTAGTAGGAATTGCAGGTGCAAAGTAAACGTTTCAGAGCATAGCGTTGACAGGGCCAGTGAAATGTAAAGATAAAGGATAATAATCTGTAGTATTTCCAAACATGCCCTCTTCCCACTGATAGCTGTCCGCTACTCACTACGTAAATCCATAGTCCTTCCACACATTTTCTCCGTGATTTACCGTACTATCAGAGCGACAAAGTGTCTTAAGTTGAAATTACGGCATGCTAGTGCGGTGAATGTGCCACTAACCTCAGCGGATTCGTCGGAAGAAGGCTTTTTGTATACTTCTACGTGCAGAAGTGACCTTTTCCTGAGCTGCGCCTGTAGTGGAATCTGTACTGGTCTGATCTGACAATGATAGTCTGACAAAGTACCTAGTGGTTGTAGGAATGTGGCGAAAAAAACTCTGCATAGTAAAATAAGCTGCGAGAAAAAAACCGAGTGATGGGAGGCGAGTGAGTCGTATGTGACTCATTTAGTCATCAATGTGTTAACATTATGCAAAAGGTGTTTAAATCTGTGCGGCAAAGGAAACTGTTAGAAAGCAAGTTTAGCGCTTCCGCTTGTTTCTATGTGCTTTAATTCCGAACCTTTATAAATCTTAACATACTGCCTCCAGGCTAACACCTTTTGTTTTTCATATGAAAAGTAGTGCATGAAATACTTAAATCACATTCAGTCAAGCGATGCTCTTCGGCGTGAACTAACGAATGAGAGCGCGAATGCTGGAGGAGCTTTGAATATGGTAACGATAATAGAATTTTTACATTGTTATATGGTACATTGATTGGAGTCCATTTTCCAATGATGTCGACCTATTTCGGACCCTATTTCCCACATTCCTGCCCAACTTTTCCATCATTTCTATTTCGAAAACTAGTACTAACTTTTGCTTAGAATATATGCAAAAATAAAAGGAAAAGTCGAATGGAATGTCAATAGGAACATTTCCTTCACTCGACTCGCCAGCGCTACATCTCCTTAATGACGTTGATTGCACAATTTACTGCATAGTTTTGATTAACTGTTAATTCCAGAGCAGAAGTGGGAAGAATTGTTAATTCCAGAATTCGCCAGAAAACTTTCCATGTGTCTTTGTCATGAGTGGAAGTAGCGCAATAGGTATTGAGTGTTCTAGATACTTAAGAGCACCATCTTCTTCTTTTTGGATCTCCAGTAACAGTAAACACCTATTATCTTGAATGCTTATAGCATGTCTGGCAAACCTGATTTTCGGCATCTTGATGGCGTATATGGCAGCGTTTCTAGTCGTCAGTGCACGAACGAGTTTCGTATTCTCTTTCTCACCTGAGCGTAGAAGAGACTCGTAGTACCATGTTCTCACGTGTTCGATAACGTGGACCAATTTTTCATCCGGCTTGCAAAGATGACGTTAGTGTCCTGAGCTTCCATGATCGGTCTTCCCACTGGTTCGAAGTTGCTTTTTATATAAAAGAAAATGAAATAAAGCGACGCGTTATCGTGACAAAACGATCACTCGTATTTTACTCTTCTAGAAGCACTGCTTATTCGCGCGCTTGCTCGTCCAACGTTCTGTCAGGTACTGCGATATTTTCCGATATAGTACATCATGATTTTTTGCAACAAGGTGTTCTACTCAATTTTCATATATGTTGAGTCTTGTTTCTGATAAGAAACTTGTAAAAGACCGATCTAGTATATTGGTGAGGTCCGGTGATAGGTTTTCTAGGTATTCGATTCTGTTCTTTCCTGGATCAGATGCTCTAAGGTTCTTCATCTAGAAGACAGCATGTAGAACCTCGAAAAAGCGAACAGTCAAGAAGATAAATTGCGTGACTAGACATGAAGGCAGGTTGTCGTCGCTGCAAAACAAATCAAGGTAGAAATTGTGAATAATCTCCTTCATTGAAGTGCTTATTGCACCGACTTTTGCCTCATAACGTCGGGCAGACGGTCATCTCTGGGGGATCTCACAGTTACTCATGCTAACCTCATGCTGACCTCTCATCTTGTTCACTTAATCCCACAGTGTCTCTCTTTTTTTAAGGTCTCCTTTTACCACCTTCTTGTAAGGCTTTGCTAACTCGGAAGTAAGCTCGTAGTTACTTGTAGGTATCGGCACAGGTAGTGATTTCCGAACAGTCGAGAGAACTGTCGTGTTCAGTGGTATTCGGTCCATTTTATTCGTCTGTGTGGACGATAATAGTAGGTTCTCGAAGGCAGTCAAACACTCAAGCTAATCTTATCTTACTATGCTTCTTCCATATTTTTTGCGGTTTTAATCGTGCGAAGTAAAGGAATTTCGCAGAAAAATCCGCTTTAATGAGAACACCAACTCTCCCGCCTTCTCTGAAATCACACTATCTCAGGAACAACTTGTCTTCGCCATCATAAATAGCGTTTAATATACAGCGTCTTCTAATCTGGATCAGTCCGATGACTTCAAGATTAATTTTTTAGCAAACATAATTCGTTAGTCGGATGAGTGTGTCGTAACCACAAATCGTTAACATAGTCCCTTCAGATTCATGAAGTAGGTGTTCATAGGCAAGCTCGTTTTGGTGAGGGAACAAACACCTCTGACTCCCCTATTGTTGGCACATTCCGAGGAACCTTTCTCCGACTCCATGAGTACTCTTATTTCTGGTACTGTTGGCGATTAACCCTTACGGGTGACTGTCGTGCCCTTCCGGAGTCGATCAGATGGCAAGCGAATACCATTGAAAATTAGCAGGAACGAAGCAGCCACTAACACTAAGAACATAATTAAAGTGAGCGAATGAAGGGCTTTGCAGACGATGCACTTTTTCCTTCCAAGTGTTACACGGAGTTTCGATACTTACCACTTTAGTAACTGATCTTTTTAATACACTTATAAGCCACCGTCGTCAGTTTTTTTCCACAAGCCCTAGACAGCGTCCAGTGACCAAATAGTAATACATTTTTGCTAGAGGAGCGGAATTTCCAAACATTCTTTGTTTCTGAGCTTCCGAATTCGAATATTGCACATACAAGACAGTGAGAGTTCCCGTACTTATTGCTATGCTGTAGAAGACGAACGTTCCAGCCGAAAGTAGTAATGAACTTAATCGGGGACGATCTTCGCCAGTGGGAGAACGCACTTCACTTGGCGGCAAAGCCAGGTAAGTGTAAGCAATCGTTAGTTATTTTAAATTGTTTCAAAAAATACGAAACTAACAATCCTGTTCTATTTTACCAGGATTATTTATGTCGAATTCAGAATTGTCCACAGCTATTTTAGAAAACTCTAGTCTTGTCTTTTCCGAGGAGTAACGCGCTCACCACAGCACCATGCAGGTTTTTTTTTGAGAGACAGGCGAAACGAAGGGTTCGCATGGTGTGGTGATGAACGCGTTACTCCCCGGAAAGAATAATAGTGCGTTCGTTCCACCGTAGACACCTGCAGTCCGGAGTTTTCCAAATATCTCAGCATCATTGTGGTTGTTTCACAAATAATACCCTGCCGTGAAAGCTAGTAAAAGGCAGTAAATAAAAAGTCAAGATTCTAGCTTGTCGTTGGCATATTCAGAAACACAGGGTGGTTGGTCCATCTGTACATAAATCTCGGTCTGACATTTACCCGTTCGCTAACATTGTCCATTGAGGTTAGTGGATTTGTGTCCAGACACAGCCATGAGAATCGAATCTATAGCGGGAAACTGTTTGATGAGATAGTTAGCTAACGTTATCACTTGACAAACACATCAAATAACATTTTAAAAACCAATTTTCATTCAACCTTAACATTATAGTCAATATCTCTTTAGATTACTAGGCTTATAGAGGATGATAGGGGCGCGTGTGGAGCAGTGCTAGGAGGCGTCCTGCAACACACACGTGGAATCGATGCCCGCTCCCATGGCCTAGCAAGCTTCCATCCCTCCGGGGTGGGCAAATTGGTGCTAGATTTGTCTGGGAGGATAGTAGCACTGGCTTGATACATCGATAGACCGCCACGAGTCATTGTAAAGGCTAGATATGCATCCAATCACCTCCTAACAATGCTTGATGAAGTCGCATGCACAGCGCATCCCTCAGGGGCATTACCTGATCAACGCCGAGAGCTTTATCATTTTTAATCCCTTATTTTTCGAGAACTATTCCTTATGTGCGAAAAAAAGACCTTGACTAGTCAGTTGTTGAAACTTGAAATGATATTTCAAAAGTAGGTCAAAAAATTCAGGTGGGACATATATTGCAGCAATTTATAGTCGATCTCTAAACAATCGTCTCTATTTATAATTGAGCAAAAACGTCACGAATCGGAGATACGATGACACAAATCAGAATTCCTAGTTGAATTTCAGGAATTTTTACGGTAGCTCGCCGAATAATGGTGCATCCAAAGTTCACAAAATCATACGCATACGACACATTCGTCACTCTGAACAGTATCGGTGTTGAGATGAAAATATTCGACGGCCCAGCTGAAATCGTGCAGTGGATACAAAAAAACTTGAAGGTTTTTGTCCACGAAAACCGAAAGTGTTGTGCTCTTGTGTGCTTGGCACTGGAGAAAATTTCTATTTCCTTTAAGAGCTTGGCACCAGCGTTCATTGAGAACTACATTTTCAGATAAACACTGTCCAACATTGTCCATTCGAAATGTGGAGGGGTGGTGAAACTTATCTGAAAAAAGAGGTAACGATGTTTTTAGTTATAATAACCAATGCAACGAATTAATTAAAGGAGCTAGTAAATACAATCTTAACTCTTTTATTTACTGCCTTTTTCTTCTTAATGGCAGGGTATGTTGTGAAATATAACTCGTATGAAGTGCTGAGATATTTGCAAAACTCCGGACCGCAGGTGTATGCAGTGGGGAACGAACACGCGCTGTTGTCCTTACCGGGGAGCAGCGCACTTCACCACTACACCATCCGGGTCGCTAGTAAATAGCTAGTAAATATATTGGAAAAAATTATGACCGTGGTTAAATCGAACATACTTGGGCTATTAAACCTCTTATTTGAAGAGTAGAAATGCTCCTCATCTTGGCATCTTAATTGTTTCATTTTTATTCTATTTTAATTAACCCATTTGTGCCGATAGATACTTGAATTTTCTCGCAACTGTCCTCGACTATCAGGTATCTGACTGTTCCAAGCATGCATGAGGCATAGAAACTAAAGGACGGAGTTTATATGAAATTTATTCCCATTTTACCGACACACACACACACACACACACACACACACACACGCACACACACACACACACGCACACACACACACACACACACACACACACACACACACACACACACGCACACACACACACACACACACACACACACACACACCGACAGACACATGCACACCGACACGCACCGATGGACACATACACACACACCGATACACCGACAAACCGACATACACACACGTCGACACACCGACACGCACTCACACCCACACCTGAAAACACACACACACACATTCTAAAATCGGCCAGTATCCGTTCCTTACAGATAACTATGTGAGATAATTATGTGAGAGTGTATGTGAATGATGTCAACATTAAAGTGAAAATGATGTAGCTGTCAGGTCATTCTAATTCTGCTCTCGCATCAAATGGCACAGAACATTATTAGCCAGAATTTATCGCTCACGTATACTTCATACTTTACGTCCACGATTAAAGGATAAAGGACAAAGCTCTCGGCGTTGACCAATCCCTGGGGAACGCGCCATGAACTAGAGTTCGTTAAGTATTGTTATAGGTTCCTGACTGCATATTTGCCCTACAGTGATTCAGCGTGGCCAGCCGATGTATCGAGTCAGTGCAGTCGTCCCCCTAGACAGGGCCGGTGCCAATTTGCCGAGGGATGGAATGATTGGTGAACCTGGGGCGCGCTATCGAACTTTTTTGTGTTGCACGGCGCCTCTAGCCGCTACCCTACGCGCACTGTTTTGTCGATGATAACATCATCAAATTACGGTGAACTTTATGACTTATGATTATGCTTTACATGAGGTTGGTAAAGATGTGTTTATTCGGCTAACGTTTCAACCTCGTGTAAGCTCAACAACTTAAACACTTGTAGAAGGTATTTTTTTTTCCTATTGAAGAAAGTCCGTAAGTCCATGTATGATACTTCGATCTCGTTTTCCTCATACCTTGATGTTAAAGTGTAAATGAAGGGGCTGTTCAAATCGGTATTTCTCCACATTTCTCCAAGCGGGTTCACGTCCTTACCTGTGCAAAGGAAACAAGTAAGAACATATTGAGGAGCAGACGGAGACATGAACACTGTATAAACGCAACGGGAAAGAACAAGTACTTCATTTACGACATAGGTCCAGTAAAGTATTTCACTTAAAATATGGATTTTCATTCTTACGAAATTTATGTATCAGGTTGTTTTTTATTATCATTACAAAGAATGGAATTTATGAAACACACCGAAGTTACTAACAGTCTTGGGTTGCAAAAAGCGCGACATTTAGATTACGACAGGCTTCCAGATTGGGAAGGAATCCGCTAATCGTGAGCTGATAATAGCAAAGTCTAACCAAAGATGTCCAATATTCGCCTGGTCCAGCCATTATCAGGTTTATTCGTGTTAGATTACGATATAAAACTACCCAGCAAGAACTCTGTTTTTAGATCGCCTTCAAGTCTGGCATATTCGAATCTGAAGTTGTTTTTACTGCTAGTGGTCATCCCGATGTGAGTGGAGCTGTGAAAAAGCTTTTCTATCTGATTCAATACTATGTTGAGTCTACATAATGTCTTATATTGCGTGCTATTCCAATAGTGCACATATTTAGAGTAAAGGAGAGGAAATGTACGCACGCTTTCACAATGAAAAGCCAAAAATGAGGTACTGCAGTGCTGGTACGTTCCACAGCAATCACCTGTATTACCTGTAGCAATAACAGTCTTAATTAACACTTAGCATTTGGATAGACTGAGTTCACAAGAAGTCCTACGAGTTCTTATACCACTTACATTTAACTGATTGATTGCTAATCTCAGGACTGACTTTTATCTAACATCGGCATTCATCAATAATTCACTGCTTCACCAGGTTGTTATTGCATCTATATTTATTCACAATAGCTTACTTTCGGTGGTTTCGTCTTCTTAAGAGCCTGGAAAGCTCAAGTTGATAGGCAATCTGCCCAGTCAGACGTTTTCATAACCTCAGCAGAGAGAACTTTATTTTACATACATAAATTTTCACACTTGGACACCGGCATGGTCCGTCCTCACTGGTTATACGAACCACAGCACAATCTCCACTTCTTCGGAATTTTGATGGTTTAGCCAATGTGGCTCTCTGGAGTCCTCAGGTCAGCCAAGCCAAAGTCTGCTCCCGGGCGTCGCCACCTCAGGCAGTTACCGCCCTTGTGGTTCAGAGCGATGTTTGCACCATGCGACCATGCGACTAGTTTTATGCTAGAGCGGTGGTGGATCCTGGGATTGTTTTACTCATAACTGAGCTTCCTAATGGCAACTCCGGGCTCCTTTTCAGCCCCCGTTGTACTTCGCAGTTCGACACCCAGAAACACTTCCCAGCCACGATGAGGCGGTAAACCGTCGGGAAGGAATGGAAGTATCATAATGAAATTCATTTTATTATCGTCAAATGAAGCAGGGATCTCCATCATGGAGAGGTCTCAAGCCGGTTAGTCATGACGTGACGCGTCCCGAAGTGGCGTATAGGAAGTTAATCGCAGACCAAAAGCAACCTCTGCTTCCCTGAAGCGTAGGAGGATCCAGGGGATGAACCTCCGTATACCAGGCTATGAAAAAGGCCAAACTACCGGACGTCAGTTATTCTGAATGAATAAATGTTGTAATAGAAACCTCTTGTTTGCTCGTCTAGAAGGCATTAAATGATTGTTGCCATTAGTGTAAGATATTCTTGGCTGAAATACTGAGAAAACCCCGCTACGCTGTTCTTAGGTCTCACTAGTTCGATGGCCTTTGTGAGAACAGCCACTTTGTTACTTGGCTCCCTACAACATGGTAATTTATGGCATTGTTTTAGTCCTAGCTAGGGTTCCAGATAGGCTGACACGAAATTCTTAAAACTTATTTTAGTTTACAATGGTAAGCCTCTCAGCAATTTCGTCTTTTACAAATTCTAGATGGAAACGTATTGCCAAATACCTTATTTTGTGAAAATTCTAGCCTTAATGAGAACTCAACCAAAAGCGGGAGGGAGATCAAAAGCACTTCTTCTCTGTCACAGCAGTTTTTTTTACATCGTTCAACATCGCATGTTGTACAAATCAAAGAGCTTCTTTTATTCGACTCGTTTCCTCGCATCTGTCTTTCACGACGGTCTTCGGATTTGTTGTGCTAGTTGGCCAGTGGATTAGGGAGTTGGTCGGGTTTGTCTTTTGTCCGCCAACTGTACGTGGAATGCTCGACTTTATATGAATTCGCTATGCGGGACTATTTTCCGTAACTTCCGTGAACAACCTCGAGTTTGGGTTACAACAGTTTATAGCAATAACAACGATATAACAATAATATGTGATATTTGGCGATATGTAAGTTAGGTGGGTACGAGCGAGATTTAAATGAGAACAAGTCATACACTTGAATGAAACTAGGCGGACACTGGAGCTGGAGCACTAGAACATTGGAAGACAGACACTGGTGGATTGGAGGGCAGGCACTGGTGGATTGGAGGACAGGCACTGGTGGATTGGAGGACACGCACTGGTGGATTGGACGACAGGCACTAGTCTTGATGACTAATAGTGCTCCTTATATTATGTCTGTAATGGGTGGGGTTTTACAGAGAGGGATCAGAGATAGCGCTCAAAGAGAGGTTATGTACTTTTTCAGCTAGTACAATTTCTTGTACAAAGAGCTCATGAAGGTTATGCTAAGGCTTAGACGGAAAGTGCATGGGAATGGCTGATTCTTGAAAGTACATGCGCATGGCGGAGGCCTATTCAGCGTCCGAATTATCGGACAAAGAAGAGCGGAGATACAAAGAAGTTACAGTATCCCTTACCAGCTCAGCTGCGAGGCAAATGTTTGAAACGGTCGTTCAGAGACAATTTACAGAATATAGGAGAATAGATGTATAATGATTACAAGTAGAACATTTATTTCAGAAGACATAAGGTAACATAGAAATAGGAGCTCTTTAAGGAATAGTTACTATATTTGTGGATTCAACTCCTGCTTGAGGATTTTCTGTCTTTCTGAACGTCGTTTGGGGCGCATGTAGAGCAGCGGTTAGAGGAACCCTGCATTACATATGGGCCGATCCCACGCTCCAGTCTCACTAAGTTTTCCATCCTTCCGGGGACATCAAATTAGTTCTAGACAAGTATGAGAGGATAGCAGCACTGACTCAGTACATCGCTGAGCCACCACGAGTCATTGTATAGGCCAGATATGAAATCAGTCACCTTCAAACGATGCTTAATGGAGCCCAATGCGCGGCACTTTCCTCAGTTCAACGCCGAGAGAGAGCTTTGTGAAAGTGGTTTAGTCCTTGTCGTGCCGACTGTCCCTGGAATCGTGAACTAATCACGCTAGGACATTCCCAGATGTTCGCCACCTGCAGTCTTAGCCTTTGTGAGTTGGTGGGTGCTTTTTCCCGACAAGTCTGCTACATACAGGATGATGATGTAATGCATAGGTAGGTACCATTAATCACTGTAAAGGCCAAATATACATCCAACTTTCTCTACGATGCCAATAAGGTCATATTTATGGCACATTTTTAAACGACTTACCACCGAATACCGAATTGTTCCATGTTTTCATGCCACAATTTTTTCCCACATATAAAAATAAGATGTGCAATATCGGATCAGTACCACTTTAAGGCCGTTCGGGAATACTAGAAGTGCCGACTAACTCCTCCAGTATTTTTCTTTATTTCATCACGGATATGGAACGATCCATAACTGGACCGCAACTACTGGACATGATCAAAGACGTGCAGAAGGTATAAAGCCGACGCGATTTCCATAATTTAAAGTGCTAACAAAGAACGATTTACCAATCTCTCCTCATTGGTTTCTGGCAGAAAACGTTAAGTCGGTGAATTAGTGAACCGGATGATATGAGCAGGCGACAAAGTCGTGAATGCATGATATCAATTGGCCATTATGTCGTAACAGTCATCTGAATTCGGTGAACCTCCTATCTCGACGAATATTATCACAAAAAAACCAGAAATCACAATGTTCACTTTTCTATTTGCTGCCTACCGCAATTTTTCACGGCAGGTTAATATGCGAAATACAACCACAACGATTCTGAGATATTTGCAAAACTCTGGACTGCAGGTGTCTGCGGTGGGGAACAAACGTCATATTACCCCTTCCAGGGCAAATGTGCGTTCACCACCACACCATGCGGGCCTTTCGTTTCACCTGTCTTTCAGCTAGTTTTCAATCGATCTGTGCCATTAACAATCACCCGTCAACGCGATTGATCCGGAACCCACATCGGCATTCAGTCAGTTAATCAGTTAATAATAGAAATAAGTCGCTCTAACTTCCCGCATAGTCATAGTCACTATATAGTAGTGCTAGCTTGGCAGCAGATGCGACTTCACCACGCCACGCAACCAAGTAGTTTGACCAACTCTTTTGCTTTTTCTGAGACTGTCCACATCAGTAAAAATATTATTTCTTATACTATTTCGCAAACTCCAGCGGAAATAGTTAATCGAGATGATCCTTCAGGTTACACCTGAAGTTCACACCGCATACGTTCCTATATGGTGGCCCCAAAATAAAGTATCAAATGTTGCGAAAGGAATCAAAGTAAGTATAGTGAATAAATAACTGGACAGAAAAATGTTGTAATAATAGAGAAAAAATCTCCTTAGTAGAGACATCAAGCTATTCAAATCACGAGATAGGTTCGCCTTTTGTTAAAATTTAATACCATTTCCAGAGCTCTCTTGATGCAGAACCTCTCTTTACTCATGGTGGTTTCGGTGACCTCGCCATGGAAGATGCAGAAGTATTATTCGATCTCCTTGGAATGAAAAACAGCCATTGGTTCACTTTCTGTCCAGTCTTTCAGACATGTAACACAATCACAAATTCTTAATGAGCACAAATGAAAACGGGTAAACATCTGAGCGAAACGTTTGTGCCACGTTCTGGTTTGCGAACAATTTCGTGTATAGATGTTACAGCTACTACTACGGTCGAAGTTTTGGTTGCCTTTAAAGTTAAAACCTATGCCCGTTCATGGTGTTACCTGGCCTTAATCGCCAATAGTTAATCACGAGATATGACGTTGAAAAAAACTACGAAGAAATCTCAGCCACAAACTAAATGACTTTCGCTACATGTATAAAATTCGCAGGCAAGTGCTGAGTACAGTAAGAAGTTTACGTCAAACATTCAGCATTTCGACATGGTCACTGTATTTCACACACCAGATACATCAAATATGTATGTACACCTTCACTTCATCTTCCCCATAAATTTATTCTAGAATGTTGAGTCACTGTCAAAACGTACCGCTTTATTAACACTGAAATCGAACCGTCAAAACGATAGCACCAATTAATACTTACGACTCGACACCTCACTTCGTGCAGCTGTCGCATTTCATCGACGCCCAATTCTCCACTGAACATGCCACGAATCGAAATCAACTCATGTGAGCCAAACTGCTCCGCCCCACACCCGCGTGTCAGCCCTTTATTAGCAACAAACTTCTAGCGAAATATAACTTCAATGATGCTGAGATACTTACAAAACTCCGGACCGCAGGTGTCTGCAGTGGGGAACGAACGAGCTACTCTTTCCTTTCCTTTCCGAGGAGTAACGCGTTCACTACCACACCATGCGGGTCTTTCGTTTCGCCTGTCTCTCAACTAGTTCTATTGATCGGCGCCATCAGCAAGCACCCGTCAGCGGGATTGATCCGGTGAGCCCACATCGGCATTGAACCCAATTAAGCTGAGGCTGTAGTTGAATTCACAATGTTCTACTTTCTATTTTCTGCCCTCTACAATTTTATACAGACCCAAATAGTGTGGTGGTGAACGCGTTACTCCCCGGAAAGGACAATAGCTCGTTCGCTTCCCACCGCAGACACCTAGGGTCCGGAGTTTTGCAAGTATCTCAGCATCATTGAAGTTATATTTCGCAATATACTCTGCCATTAAAAAGAATAGGCAGTAAATAATAAATCTTCTTGCTATTTTATCCGTACAAAAAGGAGCAAGTCACAAAGGGACTTACGTGGGAGAGAGATATCTTAGTAATTCTCAGGAACAACTGTGGCTTGAAAAAACTCGTCCGGAAAACGTCTTTTTGTATATTATCACTAATTGGAAGGAATAACTTTTATCGACAGACTTTTGGTACATTAATTATCGACTGAATGTAAACAGTACAACAGAAGACTTTTGTCGCCAAAACAAAAACCCGGAAAAATAGGTTGATATCAATTTACGCCGGTCAATCTACATCCCACTTCTGAGCCTCACATATAAGTGCAAATCAAGTCATCTCGGAATTTAGGTGCTAAAAAATAGTCCGAAAGTTTTTTCTTCAGACAGATTTATATGGTGTAATTAGTTCCAAACATAACAGAGGTCACTTCAGACAGCATATGGTATTAGAAGCGCCTCCCTTCAATATAGTTAACATCAAATGTCCGTTCACTCTGATCATCTACGACGACAAGAAGAAGATGCCGGTATATTATGGAAGGTCCGTTTTCCAGTGAACTATCAGTATTTATAATGAACCAACCATGAGTAACTAACTATTCATACATTTAAAAAGTTACACGAAACAAGCTCGCTACTTTTGTTTAGATACTTGATTCATACGAAAAGGTTTGGCCCTATAATCGTACTTAAATCCAACTTTATGAATTAAATCTTCATTGCTACAAAAAACGTATGCGACACGCCTTCACATCTATCAAGCGGATCAAAACATTTCTTGCATTCAGCTCGTTTCCTTGCATCAGTCATCCACAAAGGTCTTCCAACTTCTTCCGCGTGGGTTCGGCTACTGCTTGAGGATTTTCCTTTCGTTATGAATGCCTTTAAATCTAGACCAATTAGATTCTCCTTGGACTCCTAAGATAGCCGGACTAAAGCGTTCCCACGAGAAAAACTGAGAATGAGGATTTCCCAATCTAGTCTGGTACCGATTTCCTGACCCCGGAGGGATAAAAGGCCTGCTGGGCGGATCCGACCAGTACCGCACTCATGATGATCGACATCACTACCAGTGCACTCACTAACCGTCCGCTCAAGATGTTGACTTCTACGTCCATCAATGACACAGCACTCGTTTTCGAAGCAAATAACTGTAAACTTCGTGAGAAAGTGAGCGCAGTCAATGTTTTCCCCAATTATGCTGACTTACAAGTTACTACGGACTTTTTCAAAAAGAAAAAGATGGGTGGTGGGGATATTGGAAATGCATATGATAGACCTGGTGGTCCTCCGTTTCCAATGTTCAGAACCAGCGTGTTCGGTTGTCGTTTAACCAAACGACCGCGTTTCCGAATAACTATTTGAAGAAAATGTCGTTTGCCAGTGATCCTGATGCTGACAATAATTCTGTAGCTATCCAGTATTCAAAATCGTGTGCAAACAGTACTATTCTCCTTGGTGGCGGGACTGGTGCTTCATGCACTAAGGCGATTACGACACAAACTACTAGTGAAACCAGCTATTCTGTCAATGAATCGCATGAGGCCAATGCTATTTCAACTTCGAAAAATGGCATTCTTGTGCAATTGTGCTTTGCAAGCGAATGTTACAACAAAAGTTTTTCAGGATTGTACGTCCGAAAGTTGTTGACCCGAAAACTTCTAATGTTGGAGAGAACGATGAGCACAAACGTCAGCCCAAGAAGTGGTGCAAACTAATGTGAACGTACAGCCTTGCGTTTACATCGGGTAGCAAATGTAATAAAGTGCCCCATTTAATTAATTGAAGAATAAAAGTTAGAGCATTTAAGACTGCCTTAAGTCTATAAACTACACGATTTCTATTCACAGCAATAATACGGATTCCTCTCATGGAAGATACTGGATTCCCTGAGAGTCAACAAACTGATGCGTAGACTGAACAAGAAAAATAAACCGTCATCTGATACAAATTCGTAAGACCAAGAAACTAAAATCAATTTGAATGAAAAAACCTTATGCCTACAAATAGCTAGAAAAAAGCAAAGAAAAAAAAGAAGAAAGGAATAATGACTAAGGAAAAAATAAAGAAAAAGAAAAAGAAAGGGAATTGAGAACAGAAAGAAAAAAGGAGAGACTAATAATTAAGATGTAAAGCGATAGAGTGATAGGACAAACCGAAACAATTTCCCTAAATAAAGATATTTTGCAATCTTCAACACTTATAGTCTCTCCGTGTTTTTACGAAATAACTAACACAAGTCTAACAGGAATACGAAACCTATCGTTTTCGGAGAAGATACCGAAAAAAAAGAGCGAGAATGACACCTGTCATTGAAAGTGCAAAGCTATGTCTTAAAATTCTTGGGGAAGAATACATTGAACTCAGTTGAGTCCTCTGAGGAAAACATCTGAAACGTCTTCTTAAAAAATCTTTAAAAAACGCTGTACAACAATGAAGATTGCAATGTGAAATATACAGAAGCAGTGCATACCTTAAACAACTGGAAGCATCTTGAACAAGAACCTCTCTTCCAAGATTTTCACAACATGAAAGTATTGAAAGAGCCTAAAGATCGTACTAATGCAGTTTAAATAGAAACAAGCAGTTATCCAATAAACTAACTTTATTTATTTCTTGAATTTCCTTTACCTCGTTTCGACAGACATAGAAGATACGACAAGGCGATAACTGGTACAACTAGAAAACATCTACATTTCTACTACAAAGTCCTCGTCATAAACCTAAATTTACTGAATGCCGCTATTGCGAGCATAGTTTAAAACAGAAAACGTCCCTGTGTGTTAATTCTGTAAATATATAAGCTGTAAGCTATCAATAATAAGGAATAAAGCTCTCGGCGCTGATCACACCCTTAGTGGTGCGCCATGTATTCGACTTCATTATGTATCGTTTGGAGGTGAATAAATGCATATCTGGCCTTTCCAATGAATCGCCGTGACCTACCGATGTATCGAGGCAGTACCGCTATCCTCCCAGACAAGTCTGGTACCCATTTCCGACCCCAGAGAGATGGAGAGCTTGGTGGGTCAGCGAAGCGGAAATCGATCCCATGTGTAATGCAGAACGCTTCCGACCCCTGCGCTATACGACCCCACTGTAAGCTAATGATCCCATAATATCTAAATAACACGGTTTGTTGATATCACAGCAAATGATGGTGTTGACGAAATTCCCTAAGATAAATATTCCACTCCTAATTTGAAACACTGGATCTATAAAAAAGGGTTTGAATAACAAAGTACAGTAAAACGATGCTACATCTAAGTTCACACACAGTAAAAGTAACGAACAAAAAAACTTTCTCAAGACTAACCGTGCAAACTTTGTCTTTGATGAAGATTTCAACCAGATAGCGGTCTCTGTCTTCATTTGAGTCGCTACCTACGACGTGAAAATTCAGTTCAACAATATCTGGCGCTAAGGCTGGTAAGAAACCAGATCCTATACTAAAATCGAATGCTTGACGTATTGTATCACGTTCGTCATCTGACAAAAGACATCCAACAACCTGAACAGGACTCAATTTGGATGATAAAATTTCTTTGGTTCAATAGAAATGTTTAAAACCTTGCGGTCTGCTCCGACACCAAAAACCCACTGCAGTGGGTATCGTGAATTCAATGCTGCACAAACAGTGGATTGAATAGCCAACGTTGTGAGCTCCTGTAGTCGCTCAGGACCCCAAAGAATGGTCCAACTGTTCACAGATGACTAAATTGACAAACAGGAAGCATACATAAAAAGAAAAGTAAAAATGAAAGAAATTCTTGTTGCTTACCGTGTATACACTTCCATACGTGAACTTTTTGCAAGGAGCGGTCATCAATTTCTCAATCAGTTCCTGGCATTCTACGGAACCAATATTATACTGAATTTAAAAGCCGGTCTTATAAACCATCACCTATTCAAAACCTACATGAGAATCATCTAACACATAAGCGACTAGACCTCGTTCTCTGTGGCCTAGACTTACAACTGCTTCTAAAAATTTCTGTGTTAGTTAGGTTTTCTTATTATCGATATATCCTCCATTTTCTCCTATAATATATCTTCCTACGTCTTTGAAACAGAGGCAAACCTTTTCTTGGCTGATAAGAAAACTGACAAGGGTTTGTAAGATATGACAACTATAACTCAGTGTTTTTTTAAACACCCATCGATGCTACAAAGAATAACGGATAAAGCTCTCAGCGCTGATCATTCCCTGAGGGATGTGCCATCCATTCGACTTCATTAAGCGTCGTTGGAGATGATCGAATACAATATCTGGCCTCTACAATGACTCGCGGTGGTCAATCGATGTATCGAGCCAGTGCTGCTATCCTCCTAGACAAGTCTGGTACCAATTTGCCGGAGGGATACAGTGCTTAGTTGGCCACGGTTGGGGGATCGATTCCGCGTGTCTGTTGCAAGGCGCCACCGACCACTGCGCCACACGTACTCTGTCAATGCTATGCGAAAGTTATTATGCATCAGAATAACAACTGGAAAAAATCCGATTACAACTGGTCGACCGGACAAGAACTGAATTGTTTAACTTCCTATTTACTGCCTATTGTTTTCCATAGTAGGCTATTTATTATGTGAAATGCAACCAGAACGATGCTGAGATATTTGCAAAACTCGGACCATAGGCCAGATTCGAGCACGCGATAACCCCTGCGGAGGCTCGCTACTTATCCATTGTACCACCGAAGTCTTTACTTTGCCTTTCTCATGAGGAATTGAAATGTATAAGATTTAATCATGGTGGCAGCGGACCAATTGAACTTCATTTTCGATTGACTGCTCATCCAGAATGGACAAGAAGGAGGCACTAAATCCACTGATTAGTGGGATCAGGCAATTTCAGCATGTGCTCTCATTAGTTTGCTCACAAATTAGAAGTATCAAAATCACCTAGATAGTGATTTTCTGTTGCTGTGCAAATAATCGTACCTATTATTGTGGAAGTTGTGAGGCAAGTGTCATCGCCACAAAATTGTATACCCGAATTCTATAGAATTTGCAAATGCTCTGCTATCAAACATTCAGTGGCCCTAGATTCATATTCAGACATCTGGATCTTAAATTAAAAGCTCCATGTATGGTTTTTTTACTACTAAATTAGACAACGCCCCAACGCTTTACCGTCTCATCGCAGCTGGGAGGTGTTCCTGGGTGTCGGGCTATGATGTGCAGCAGTGGATTAATCCTCCAACAGAGTTTTCCAAGCTGACAAGGAGTCCGGCGTTCCTATCTGGAAGCCTAGCTAAGAGTAAACCAATACCAGGAGCCACCACTGTCCTGATATCGAACTACATGTGTGGTGGTGACGACCTGGGGCAGACTTTGGTCAGGCTGACCTCGGAAATCCAGGAAATCATTGTGCCTAAGCCAACAAAACCCCGAAAAAGTGGAGATTATGCTGAGGCCCGCACAATCAGTGAGGACGGAAAATTCAAGTATCAAAAGAATGAGGAGGCGAGTAGAGCAGTGATAGTGATATGCTCATCACTACCACGGTTCCGATTCAATAATACACTGCGTGGGGTGAAATTCTTATCAGACATATCTGGGAGACAGAAGATTCCTTGCAATCCAGGTGGGAACGCTGTAGCCCGACTATCTCAGTGCTCCGGGTAGATAGATTCGAAAAGCATTCATCGACATCCATAGAGAAGACGACAATTGTTAAGCAGCAACCGAACTCTCCCCAAACATTACGAAGACCGTCGTAATTGACAGATGCGAAGGAACGAATCGAATGCGGAACTGCTCGGACCCACACAGTAGATGTCAAAACAACCCGTGTAAGATAAAAATTTAAGAAAAAAACGTAAACAATGTGGAAGAAAACCACTAAGACTTGCCATCTCACGGAAAACAGGAACGTGACTTGTGCAAATCTTGCGAACTCCATGCTACAATACATATAAGTGATAAGTATATTTCAAGAAGACCGATAACATTATGCTAAACAAACCCTTGGAAGATGATTGAAGTGACCATGCTTTTCGCTATCCGTGATGATACGGTTGTTCCCACCATGTTTTGGCAGACGCGTTCTACTGAAAATGCTGATACTTCTAATAGTATAGTGATAACTAGCTGACAGACAAGCTAAATGAAGGACCCGCATGGTGTTGTGGTGAACACGTTAGCCCCCGCAAAGGTAGTAACGGGTTCGATCCCCACCGCAGACATCTGCGGTCTGGAGCTTTGCAAATATCTCGGCAACACTGTGGTATAGTGGTAACTGAAACTGCATTTCCAAACAACATTTTTTTAAAAAAGACTTTCGAGGGAATGCGGTTAAGCGCCAAAAAATATCTATTGCCGAGCGCAACGTGCAAACATATCACTTCAGGCTTGCTCAAAAATGAATAAAGAAAGAATCGGTAGAAACAATATCTGACCATCGAAGAGGGACTGACGAGACAAACCTTTCTTCATCAGAAATATCGATATCGTTCAGAATGTCACTCAGGCTCCGTCCAGTTCTATCAGATTTTGTAGAAACAGAAAGTGAATTCACATCTACAAACCAAAAAGAATGATAGAAAACCATGCTGTAGCACTAAAACGGAAAGTTATGAAAAGAAAAACTGTGAATTGGCATTGCTCCACCTGGACAAATCCCCGGAGGAGCGAATGCAGAGTGAGCGCTACTTTCTGCGCTAACAGCAGCTCCTGATTCAGCGATAACACTGTGATGTGAGCCGAGCGGAGGAAGCTCATCCTTATCCTGTATGAAAAACAATCACGACACTAAGACTCAACGTAATGCTTGACGTTGAGCAGCTCAAGAAACACGTATCGAAGGCACACAGTTCAATTATAAATGAAGCAAAAAATGCTACGATTGAATTTAGCTGAATGAAAACCACTGAGAGAATGCTGATGAAACCTGAACGGAACGCACAGCAAAGGATTAACTCTATTTACAGCAGACTCAAGTCGAAGAAGGAATACTTACGGATGTCTGGCGCACGTTGTCGGGCAGGACGTCATCGAAGAAATGCGCTGAAAAGAAGTCGTTGAATCAAAAATTCACATTCTGGAAAGATATAATAGTGCAAAGCACAAACCGACAGTATTGGAGGCGACCTTCTCCATAGAGTACGTGAGAATCGGGATGTTGTCGGACACAATACCTGTGAGCAGAATTCTTAACAAATGCCCTTAACAACCGCTTATACCTGATGATTAACACTAAATGTAAATCCCACGACCGACTTTCTATTAACCCTGGCATTGATCGAACCACTCTTAATATTCTTGTTGAGTAAACATGAGGTATTATTTTATTTATTTACGAACAAGCTGACGTTTCGGCGAATTTCGCCTTCTTCAGAGCCTGGAAAGGTCAACTTGACGGCAGTCTACCTACCCAAACACCTCCATAACCACACAGAAAAAATGATAAACCAAGATTTCAATCAGTTTCTAAGTGTAAACCCATTCCAAGTTGCAGAAACCTTGCACTGAGAGAAAAATACGGGTATTTAAACGAAATTTCTGATAAAATACCATAATGGTCGACATAAGAAAAATCAAAATAAAGGATAAAGGTCTCGGCGTTGATCAACTCCTTTAGGGACGCACCATGCATTCGACTTCATAATGAACGCTTGGAGGCGAATGAATGCATATCTGCCTTTCCAGTGACTCACAGTGGTCTACCGATGTATCAAGCTAATGCTGCTATCCTCCTAGACAAGTCTGGTACCAATTTACCAAACCTGGAGGGATGGAAGGCTTGGTGGGCCATGGACGCGGGGATCAATTACACGTGTGTTGCAGGGCTCCGACCACTGCGCGATACGCGCCCGTAATGGTCGACATAGTCCATGAAATTGAAAACAATCAAAGCAGAGTTTGTGCACAAAGTGGGTAAACACTGGACTAAACGACGAGATTTCAGAAGGGGCAGAAGCATACACCCATGCACTACTTTACAGCTACTGCAATTCGCAGCGGTGTGTAATACCAGTACTAACGGCAATTAGGTTGTGCTGTAGCACTTCTGACCACGCCCACTGCTCTGGATTCATTCCCTTCATGACTAGTTCTTTTGCAGAAACGAATCCTTTTGCAATAGCTTTTGCCTTAAATCATTGTCTCCCTCACCATAAACGCTTTAGACGATATACTCTAGGAAAACTCGTCTTCTGCGCATTTCGTATTAAGACAGCCTTCTTTTTCTTCAACATTCTCGTGGCGATTGTTTACTCGTTCAACTAACAGACTAACACAAACCCTGCGGTCGAATAAAGACGTGTTGAGATATTGCGACAGCATAACTGCAAAACGTTGGTCCTGCAACGATTTCCTACCTATTGTATAAATGGAGCGGTACGTAGGTTTGTAGTATATGCGAACGTGGTCTCTCCACACGTAGTTCTCAAATTAACCAGCATTCTTTTCATTTGGATGATTGCTGGTGTTTCGATATCTAATACACTTACTCATTTAAGAAATCAATGTACGCTATAACCCTCGGAGTTATCTATTACAAGTCCTAAACCATTGAAAAGCTTTTGGACACCCACCGTACACCACTTGTGTGGCGAGGAAAAGAACGATTCCTTACCTCATTTTCGACTTCAGATTCGCATGTAAAAATGCTGAGTTCTTAGAAAATGGGCTGGTAAGCGTAAACGTGCTTGAGTGAACATCTTGCGGCTCCGACATTTCGTTGTAAGTGGCTGGCCATCTGAAATTGGAAAAGTGAATGAATGTAGTTACTCTGGTACTTTTCAAGAAGCTCATAGGGAAAGCGTTCCTTAAGAGACCCACCAACAAGACAGCAAGCCGTCCTTCGTTCGTCATGTTTTGGCTTCAGAGCTAGCAGTTTTCCAAAAGGTGCGACCTAAGTGCGTGATTCACATAAAGGACTCAGTTTTGATATGATTTCGTTTGAAAGTTGTCTTTATGAGGTTGGAAAAAATGAGCATTTACTCACTTACAATGGCCTATTGGTGTCTTTTTAATTATCGTGTGTACAAATGCAGGAAATTTTTCGTTAGCCGATTTTGCCTATGTGGCAAATTATTGTTGAAGGTTGAGTTGGAGTAAAAAAGGATAGTTGTCAGTTGGGCTTAAAGTAACACTAGGCTGCATTTTTCGACAGCCATGCAGGGTGAATGAGCGCGTGTGGCGCAGTTGTCGGAGGTGTCCTGCAATATACCTGGGATCGATTCCTACGCCCCCTCGCCCACCAAGCTTTGCATCTCTCAGGGGTCGGCATATTGGTGCCCGACTTGTCTGGAAGGATAGCAGCACTGACTCGATACATCGGTAGGCCACCGCGAGTTATCGTAGAGGCCAGATATGTATTAAATCACCTCCAAACGATGCTTAATGAAGTCGAATGTATGGCGCATCCCTAAAAGATTGATCAACGCCGAGAGCTTTCTTTTAGCTTTTATGCAGTGTGTAGTCGTCGATGTTCTCTTCACGTCCTGATCATAGCTCATCATCGAGTGCGGTATCCTCTGGTCGAAAGCAACCGAGCCATGTGAGTCCAACTAGGTGGTGAACGATTTGGCATCGATTCAAGTAGATCGCCTTCTTCAAGCAGGACGAAGGACAAAGCGTCCGGCGCAAATCGATCCTTGATCGATCCGCCATGCATTTCAATCCATTCACTATTACAGAGGTTACTGATTGTATATATGACCTATACAGTGATTTGCAGGGCCTACCAATGTTCCAAGTCAATAGTGCTTCGAAGCAACTGTGGTATCAATTTGTCGATGTTGGAACTATGGAGGGCTTGATTTGTCGGCAGAATGAGCTTGAGCCAAGCACCACGTGTTACTACACTGCACTTCTAACCACTGTGCTGCACGCCCCGCCTAGTGAAGAGTCATTAGGAAATGCCAACTACATAGCAATAACCCATTCTGAAAGCAGCAAATCTTTTGCTGATCTACAAGAGTCGATGAGTGTCTGTATCGTTGACCTGATAACATGCTGACATGGTTGTTTCAAGACTTCGAAGATGAACGTCCTGAATCAGCAGGAAAGAAGCCACAGACAAGCTGAATGGTTGCGATACAGCTCCTCCATTAGTCCATCATTATGAAGCAGTTCCTGAATGTTACAGCACTGATTTCGGGGAGAATCTCTGTAGCTTCGGAGAACGAGTCGAGGTAGGAATCCCCACGAAATAGGACAATCGTATCGCTTATTTTGGAAGCGACGTTGCCTCTCTATATCTATCGTTCAGCGAATTTCAATAACAACAACTTGGAGAAGAAACTGCAGAAGATTGGCAACATCATGAGCCGTGGCTACATTCGGGCTCCACAAAGATGCCATCGAACAAGTTACAAACCGGGAAGTCCATGGTCACTTTTTCGCTTCAACGGTTTCTCTTTTGTTTTTCTGTGCAACTAGGATTAATTTCAACACCTCAGTTATGGCCGTGATTCTCTACAAAGTCGCAAAACGCCAGCGATTTCCTGAAACACATTTGGGTCACCCAACATCGAATAGAACTTCGTACTCCAGTCTTTCTACAGATATCCTCTTCGAGATTTAGATGAATGTGTAAATCTAAAGAAAGGCGTGGCCGGATCGCTCTCTGGATCTGTTCAGAAACCATGTCCTGCGTGTTTAGGATCTTAGCGCCGTTGATGACAGTACGATTCGTAGCGGTGGTCGATCAAACGGCTGACCTACGACCGGGCGGGAATCGGTACCGTCTGGGGCAAGGGTCGCCGTGCAATTCCGTCTTCCTACCCCGCGTACTCACTTCGATGCCGTTTTCGACTTTTTTCTTGCTAACCACCCTATCCGTTATACAGGTACGACACCTTTGGTTCTCATACGTCCGTTTGCCACCTTGTGTTCCACGAACTTAGGTGTTAAGCACCGCTGCTTTTCCGTGGCCGAGTCAGTATTCGATTTTAGTGTTTAGAATGATAACAGATGCAGTAGCTGTATGCATTGTAATGCTCAGTACTAATATGTACGGAGAACGTCTCTTCTGTTCAGATATGTTTGAGTTCTATAACGAACGCGAATTGATTTTCATTCTCCGTGCCATCGTTTAGTTAGCTGGCTCAAAAGTTTCTTCCTGTAATTTTTCTATCCAATGTATTGCTTAAGGGCGTGTGTGGGGTAGTGGTCGGAGGCCTCCTGCAATGCACATGGGATCGATTCCCCACCCCTGACCCACCATGTCTTCCATCCCTCCGGGGTCGGCAAATTGGGACCAAACTTGTCTGGGAGGACAGCAGCACTGACTCGATACATCGGTAGTCCAACACGAGTCATTATAAAGGGCAGATATGAATTTAATCTCCTCCAACGATGCTTAATGAAGTCGAATGGCATGGCGCATCCCTCAGGGATTGATCAGCGCCGAGAGCTTTTATCTGATTTTTAATGTATTACTTTTCAAACGCGGACCAGTGTACTAGGTGCTGGTTTGTGAGAGTCAATCTCTACACTTAATAGTTTGGGACGAAATGTTCACGCGACGGAAGTACCGCAAAATGCTGTTGAGAGGAAAGCAGTGAGAATGGGTAGCGGCGTCTTGCAGCAGCTAGTTGCACTTTGTACCCGGACCACCACAAGGTCTCTTACGGTAATGTGTGGTCCTCACGGGGCAAATCCGGCTAGCACGGGTTGATTTCAATTCACAATGTGCTCAGTGAATAACTAGGTATCGGACGGACGCGACGGGCACATGAAATTAAGTGTGGTGGTGTTTATAACAGAATCTAATACGTAAATGAGTAATTGCAATGGTGCAATAATTCCTGTAACACTAATTGCCACAAATTATATGGATATTCGCCGAATAAGTGTGTGATATACTGGCTGCCCATATGCAGGTCATGAGCGCGGGAAACGCAGTGGTTAATGACCCGCAGCGTACACGTGAACCTTTGTACCTCGCGTCCAGGGGTCGCTGGGCCTTCCGTCTTCCCTGAGTCGGCAAATTGGTAGCAAACTAGTCCAGGAGTGTAACAGCATTGACTCGATACATCGTGCAGTAATTCCTAGATCCGACTTTTTATTTTGTATAGGCACTGTGCCGTCAACAATAAGATTTATTGAATAATGGCTGAGCTTTCAACGATTTCACCTTTTTCGGAACCTGGGAAGGTCAAATTGACATGCAGTCCACTCAGGCAAGCACTTTCATAGCCTCAGCGGAAAAAACTTCATAAATAAGTTTCCATTCGCAGTGCAAGCAGCTTCTTTTGAAAGCTCACGTTTTTCTCTATAAGTCTTCCAATTATTGATGAGGACAAGCCACAGTGTTTTACATAGGTGAAGAATGTGGCTAGGTCAGGTCGAAAATTAGCTTGAGTTATGGGAAGAGGTCATGGCTGGCTAATGGAACCCATCGCTTCGGTTCATATTTCGATTTTCACTATTTATCCAATATGCCCCAAGAGTCATGGGGGAAGAAGATTTTGATTCCTGTGTGAAGGTAGCGACTTTTACTTCAAGATCTTGTCCATCCTTGCGTTGTGTGCTTACCTAATGGAGTGTTTTATCTAACCTTATTTTTCCCATGTAAATGCTGTTTTCTGTAGATGCATAGTGGTCTACTTGTTACGCCAACGTATTCGTCCCCACATGTTTTACATTTTATCAGGTACACCGCACCCGAATTCATTGCCTGTCATTGCCTCTCCCTTTAGGGAAAATTATGGAATTTAGTTTTGAGCATGGGCAGTCATACAAGCGATTACGAACTATCGCGTGTCTTAGAGTGCTCGGTGGTATTTCAATCGATGCTACCGTGCTGTATAATTCGACCATTTTTGAGTAATGTTTTATAGTTGTACTTATTTTGTCAGAAACTAAGGGCAGAGTAAAAAGGGCTTTATTCTTGCTAGGCTTATCGTTTAAGGGCGTAAAGCGTGTGGGGCGAAATACATTGGCTAAACGGGTAGACCATTCTGCATGTGTATAATTGAGCATTTAACAAGGTTAAATTCGAACATAACACTTCACCGGGTGCGCATAAGGTCAAAAGACATAATGAACGAAATTTCGAAAAAAAAAAATGCCTATCCTCGCAATGAAATCAGAAACTTCAACGTGCAAAACTTTTGTAGCTTTTTGGATCACTTCCAACCGAACGTCCAAAGGTGAACTGGTGTGAGGGGTGCCTTCTCATTTGGCATGACCTGTCCCCATGACAGGCAAATTTGACTTAAGCTAATCACACTCCTTACCCCCTTACCCACGTAAGCCTCTGTGCGGCTCGTCTTTATCAATAATTGGAAGACTTCTAATGAACAAAACGGTCAATTTAACGTGTTATTTACTGCCTATTCTTTTTAACGGCAGGGTATACATTGTGAAATATAACTTCAATGATGCTGAGATATTTGCAAAACTCCGGACCGCAGGTGTATGCGGTGGGGAACAAACGCGCTATTGTCGTTACCGGGGAGTAGGTAAAAAGAAAACGGTCAATGTTTGAAGAAGCTGTTTACTTTGCGGATGATATTTATTGTTTTTTTTCGTTGAGGTTATAAACGGGTTTGGCTGAGTAGATTGCGACTCCTTTGACCCCTGCAGGATTCTGTAGGGGATTAAATCTTCTTACTGACAGCCTCATGTCTGCTCAAGAAAAAGCAACAATAGCAGGTCAACCCAAGTCATTGTATAGATGATATGTATCCTCTCATCTTTAAAGATGTGCTTAAACTAGTAGAGAATAGTGCGCTTTGTCATACCTTCTTTAGGATATTACTGCACAGTTCTGTACCTACATAGAGTTCTTACAGGCTCTTCCATTAACGTGCAATAATTCTATACAGTTTGATTGTCGAACACTCGCTGATCCACAAGGTTGTATTCCTCTCGAATGGCTCTGTGACGGTCTTAAGGACTGCAAGAATGGACTGGTGATTTCATTCTAGATTTTTTCTTCGTTTATTCATGAGGTTAACTATCCGCTTTAATCATATTTTGCACTTCATTACTTAAAGCAGTGCTTACTTTAGTGAGTACTCAGACGGAGTCTAGTAACATTAGAGGTTACTCTGGGTGGTAGGCCGACGAGTCTTCTATAAATTATTTACACAATTGCCATAAAAGTTGATATAGAGCGTTGTACTGTGCAGCTACCACTAAGGATACGTGCGCAGAACAAAAAACTTGCTACTTTTGTTCGGAAAAGTTTTATATCCAGGATGAGTCTCGTTGTTCGTATCTCCACTCATGTCCTGAAGGAAACTTCATATGTCGATCAGGTGACTGCGTGTCAGGCCGCTATAAATGTGATGGTGAGGCCGACTGCCCAGGAGGAGAAGACGAGAGTGGATGTAAGAACCACGAGACGTTTTTGCCAGGGGCAAGGTAAGATATCCTAACACGTTTTGAGTACCGTGAGGTACACTACCTCATGGGCAGCTGATGTACTGACGTTTTGTCTGGCTCGATAACGGGCAATGTTCGTCTCATAATCGAGTAGAAAACAGCTGTTTTGAAGTGCTGTTGACTGTTTTTGTTTTTGGAAATTTTTTTGGGAATTTTTGGAAAATTGTGCAGTTAATATGTTTTATTCTCAAAGACTTCCATTCCACCTTACGCGTAGGTTGTCTCCGAGAAATATCTCGAAACTGAAAGTTGCAGTGCTGTTTCCGATTGCCCTGAGCATATGTTCCGCTGCCAACATGGGCCATGCATCGCTCGGGCTTACGTTTGCGATGGAGAAGTGGTACGCATTTATACACTTTTTGGAACATAAGTCAGGTTAATCGTGAGCTTATACGCTCTGTCAAAAAGTGAAAAACTTTTGAAGTTGTGTGCAAATAATAATGCTGAAAACGGTTGCTTTTGCACTTTGCACTTTGGACGATCGTTAGCATGTGATTAAGCTTTCCTTCATTTTTGGGAATGGTGGCTACTCCATTGGTGGTAGTCACATTTTTTGTCATAAAAATCCATAATACAATAAGTATTTTTGGCCTTAATTCCAAAATCATAACTGATTTCTAAATGTCAAGTAGGTTCTCTCTGTAATTGTAGTTCCATTCGGAAAACTTTCAAAGGTTTTCAGGACTGCCCACTGAGGGAGGATGAGCACAACTGCACAGGATCTTCCACTAACATTTCTGTGAAAGTAACATCTTGCGATGTAGGGATGGTCCTGTGTGCTGATAATACTGCCTGTTTCCCAAAGCATTGGGTATGTGACGGAGAAGCTGATTGTCTGGATGGCAGTGATGAGGTAAGCGTATACCCCAATAAAAGGGAATACAGTGGCACAGACATAAATTGAAAATAGAGAGTAGTTTGTTAAGCATTTGGTGTTAATCTATCCCTTAGAGGTGAGTCATGCAGTCCATACTGTTAAGCATTCTGAATTTGAATGCGTAGTTGTCCTAGAGAATGACTTGTAGGCACCTTAGTTTAGTGTTTTTATTTCCTCAGACGTGTGTGGCACCAAATTTTCGACATCTAGAGGGATAGAGTGTTTAACATGAGGCGCAGGATCGAACTGGTGGTTGTGTGCATCGCAGAGCACTTCTGTCTACTGGGTTGTATGCGCTCTGGAGCAAATTGAGATCTGTTTGAACAATGTGGCGGTACCAATTTTCGCCTATTTCCCGGTTCATTGTCGAATGGCTGAAGCGTATGCGGTAATGTGTACATCCATATCTGTTTCATAACAATTCAATGTTTTTCATCAATAAGCAGACACGAGGTTGTTAATATAGAATTTATTAGAACACAATTGCTGGCGTTTCGGCGGTTTCGCCTTCTTCAGAGCCCCTGTTTCATGACAGTTGATTCCTCTTCCCCGAAGGACTCATAGAGCATTGTTCTTCTGTAGACGTTAAAAAGCCTGATCATTGTAGGGTCAGTGTTCCTACTCGTTTGAAACTATGGGAATTAGTAGCTAACGGACCATTTCCGACGGGTGTTAAAACGCGTCACATTTCTGCTCTATGTGGTTTTCAACTTCTTGGTATACTGGCCAAAATGCTTTATTGACGAAATACGTCAGGTAAATAGTGACTACTGCTGGAAAATGGAAGGCAATAATATCTCTAGTTGGGAAAATGGAGGAGGAAGGTGCTGTCTCTCTAGCACGTGGAGCTTTAGGCACTAGTGCTGCTGATGTCTCGTTTAATTCTTTTATCACTTCTCTGCGGAGCTCGGACCTAACTTGATGCTTTCCACTATGAAAGAGACACGTCAATTAAGAAAGTTTCTCGATGTTACCACGATTTTCCGCCTCATATTTTTTTATTGTTCTTGTCATCCTTCTCTGGCGCACGAACTAAGGATTAGATCAAAAATCTGGCTATCGTAGAAAATTTTACATAGTTGAAGATTATCTGAGGTCCTGAACTCCTGAAGAGTCAAATTGATTTATGAATTTATCTGAACGTTCTTCAATTTCAGTCTGATTGCGAGATGTCGATGGGTAACTTTCTCACCAAATCTGTCACCGAACTTTGTCAGCCGGGCGAACACCAATGCGACGAAGGTTAGGGAAGGAAACCGTTAATCCACTTTATTGAAGAATTGATTTTATGCAGCAAGGAAGTGTATTCCGTTGAACCATACTTGTAACGGAGTTCGTGATTGTCCAAATGGCGATGATGAGGGTGCACGCTGCAACGAATGCCAATCCAGAAGAACTCCGTGCGAATTCGAATGCATTAACACACCGCAAGGTCAGTGTAACACTTCTCCCATGGACCGAGAACGTTGTTTGAAGCAGAAATTAGTCACTAAACATTTTCGAACAATTTTATCGGTCATTAGAAAGCCGCGTACATAAGAAACATGGCCGTTATAACACCACAATGCAATTGTTCGCTATCTTGTTTTACCTTGGTTTCTGTTGCTGGTACTTCAAGTATTAATAGTGATAGAACATGGAAATGTTATGAGAAGACTAGAAGTGGATCATCCTTTTTTTCTAAAAGAAATGTGCTGACTTTAACCAGGACTCGAGAGCAACTTTCAGGTTCACGATGTATCTGTCCACATGGATCTGTGCTTAATGCAGATGAGTTCTCATGCACTCCAAAGGATGAGTGTTTGACAACCGAAGGAAAACAGTGTGAGCAGTACTGCGAGGATCTGCACAACTCGTTCGTGTTTCCACTGTTTAAAATAGATAGGAAAGCTTCCTACCCACCAGATTTCGTTGAAGTTTAGCTAATGCTGGAATTAGTAATAATTGATTTTCAAGCTAGTACCTGAATATATTATATAATATAATGGAGCCTGAATGCCTTTCTTGCTGTGATAGCTTCCATCGCAATCCCATCACAACATTTTGACGGTTATCCATATACGTGATTTCATGTTGCCTCAGATTTTTTTTAGATACCAATGTACATGTGCGCTCGGTTACCGGCTTGGAGATGATAGACATAGCTGTCGACTGGAACGTGATTATGAGGGCAAGCTGTTTATCGCTCTGGGACACGAGGTGTCTTCAAGGCTTTTAAGTTTTATATTTCGATGTCTTACGAAGTATGTAAAAGTCCAGTCGTTATCCTTAACTGAGATATCTTAAATTCGTCGTTTTCTTTCTCATCAATGGCAAACAGCATACGTTTACTTCCATACAATAAAACACATACAACACAACCGTAGCTGACGTTTCGGCAGAATCGCCTTCTTCAGGGCCGCTTTTTCTACCTGTCTTCCACCGAGGAAGAACAGCCGCTCAGGGTCGCATATGGTTGACGACTCATAGAATAGAATTGACAATAGAAAGTCGATCCTGGGAACTATTATGAGATATTCCATTGTCATAACCTAACATATGGAAAGGAAATCCACACAAGTATCTGCATAGGTCCGCGCAATGCCGCTGTTCGAGTCACGTTCATCTCGAGACGGCTATGAGACAACTCAGTCACTCGGCTCCCATGGCGTTGTTCAGTCCATTGACTTCCTCGTAAACCGACAATTGATCTATATGGCTATTTCGGGATCTGATCACCAAGGAGAAGTGGTAAGCTCATCATTTTCTAGAAGTCATGGTGTAAATGGAGTATTGAGGAAAAAAACTGTCAGCAGAAATTTGATAGAGACAAAATCGATTCGCGGGGTGTGAACTAACAATCGACCAGTTTCTATCCATAATTCTTAATATTGTTAATAATACCTTCAACACCCTTGTATTTCCATTCGCACTACATTTATCCTCAATTAACGCTGTTATCACATTGGCGATGGAAACATTGGTGTCAGTGCTTATGTAGTCGCAACCAATTTTGCTTTTCGTATCCGGCAGAACCTACGTCAGTACTGAATTCTGTTTTCTTATACTATGACAATGAAACTCTGAATTTTTAGAGCCATAAGACATTTTGCTTCTGCGGCTAATATTTGAGGTAGGGAATACAAAGAATGGACAAAAACCTTCCTAGCAGACGCAATAACATCCCGGAATACGAGATCAGTGTTGGTGATTTTCGTCCCTGCGCTTAAAATCCTTATCTTCAAAGCGATAGAGCAAAATGGTTTTCATATGTGAAGTACAACAGCTGTCGAAAGCAGTTATCGAAGGGACCTATAATCAAGTGATGCATCTGCGCCGCAGAGCAAATATATACGCAAATACAAATACAATCGTTTTTGGGCATCATTTAACTCCCTATCTACCCTTTGGGAATGTGCTACCCACCCTTGGTACTTAATGATTCGAAGACCCTCAAAATGAGCACGTCCTTAAACAGTTTGAATGCTACTAACACTCCCGCGATGACGCCTAATCAGGTTCGTTGCGAACTGGACGGTCCCTAATTTTCAGCTTTTATGGATTTCCTGGTTTTTCTTTTTTTAAAAATAAACAAATTTTTTCAATAACTATAAGACTTCGTGGATTGTGAACGTGAACGAATTGTAGAAAAAACTCTGCTCCATCATTTTACAGATATGAATGATATTTATGATACTATCTACTACATGGTGCTATGGTCCATCATACAAATACATTACTGTGAGCACTTGCAAGTGTTCTGCAACTTATGGGTCTCTTTTTCAGTATTTCTTCATACACGCACATTCTGTGTGATAACTAGTATTCAGTATTGCAGTTATAATTGAAATAGTGATCGATTGTCACCCAAATCTTTAGTTAATGAACTCATTCGAAAAGCGGTTTTCTGTATATTCCTAAGTGCAGAATAGAGCTCTCCCTAACCAACGAAAGCCCAGCACAACTGTGTTCTACAGGCAATCAACTGATACCAAAAAGTATTGGAAAAGAGTTTTTCTTACAAGCCTTTCCCGAAAAACCATTTTAACACCTGTAGGTATCAATCGTCGCGAGAGTGTTAAATCCCATGATATCCTTATTATTAATGAATCACATAAAAGGTGCATTTATGTATGAAATCACAGTCATTACCTAGTGTTCGCGTACTGATCAACCGGAGAAGAGACAAATGTAACTAGAAAATTCCTGAGCAAGTTTTAGGCAATTTCCGTTAATGGACTTTTACGTGTGGTTCGAGAAAATATTGTTGGCATGGGACAGGTCGCAGTCGACTGGATTGGCGGAAACTTTTACTTTACTCAGCGGTGTGAGTTTTCCGAAAAGTTTCCTGACTTGACTGTTCAGGAACAGTTCCATCTAAAGTGATTACAGAAGGTAACGCAAGTCATTAAAGTCGTTCGAATTTTTTTTTGTTGTAGATTTCTTCCGAAACATGATGACAAGTCGTTTTTCTGTTCCGACATTTCTAATGCAACCATCTCTTTTTTGAGATCCATCTCGAACTCCTGGAATAAGTGTTTGCTCCCAGGATGGTTTTTTCTGTCGGAGGATTATCAAGGGACAAATAAGTTCTAATCCCCGTGATTCTGGAAAAAGGCAGTATTACCGAGGTCGGTTGGTAGGGCCTTTTGAAGAAGTTCTGTATCTGCCATTCAAGCAAGGCGTGCACCCTATTTTTTCCCGCTTAGCATTTTGTTACGGACTTCTTTTATTTTTTTTCTGCAAATTATAATTGATATAAATATAACCTTCCACTGACGATAAGTAGATGTGCGTTTGCAAAGACATCGATTGAATAGGAAAGTTATCGCGAAAAGAAAATACTTGAGCGGAAAAAGAAGCAACTGTGAATTGTTAAATAATCGTTTTATAGGAATCGCCTTACATCCCCAACGAGGTACTATGGTTTGGATCGAGTCATTTAATCGTCATAGGATCATGATGGCTGACATGGATGGAGAAAACGTAAATGACTGTGCAGTAATTAATTCGGCCATTCCCACGAATTTGATTAAGCCTTTATTAGTAGATCAAGAGATTTGAAGTTTTGAGAAATGCTATGCATACATAGGCAATGGACCTCAATCCTACCCATTTTCGGTCTCTGTGCCGTCTATGCCAAAGATTGCTTGCCTTTCTATCCACCGTAGGCTTAAATTCTTCCTTCTAGGTTCGGGTGCTGGTAGAGAACAAACTAGACTATCCGACTGGTATTTCTATTGACCTCATTCGAGGCGATGTGTACTTTGGAGACGTTGAACGGGAAATGATTGAGCGCGTTAATATGGACACGCGAGAAAGGTTCCCATTTTGTCCTTCTTAGGTACTGAGGTGTATTTCAACGCTATTTCACCAACAGAAGTCTTCCATTACGTCATGAGTAAAACGTCGATCTCTCTAATGTTTTCATGTATGGTATCTTCGATTTTTAGGACCGTTGTCCTAACAAAGGGTGTGCATCATCCCTACGACTTAAAGTATTTCAATGGTTTTTTGTACTGGAGCGACTGGTAAGTTCGTCTGAAGAAGATATTCCCTTCAAAATTACTGAGAATTGAGGGCTTCGTCATCATTAAAAGTGGCCGAATTGCGCCTTCACCACGAATCAGCTTATCTCATACACTCGTTCGCTGGTTTGCCGTACGGTCTTGCTATCAATCACTCAATATATCAGGTACACATTACGAGTGACATAGCAAATAAAAGAAACTGATTGCAAATTACCTTTGTAGTCAAGCAATGCTGAGATATTTTAGATTCACTAAGAAAATTGCTTCTGAAAATCCGATTAAGCAGCAATCAGAAAAATGTGTTTATCCCCTCGTTTTATCCAAACTTACGCTATGGATCTACCTACATAGTCTACCCTACCTCCATAAGGCAGTCCGATGCAACTTTTTCAGAGTTCTCAAGTTGTAGCAGTAATACTATTTCATAAGTTCCTAAATATCAACTTTTAATAGGAAGACAAAGTAATAGATTCAACAGTGGAAAAATTTCGAAATTTAGCCAACAACATCGTCCATTCCATGTGCTTTGAACGACTGCCAGTGGATGTGTGTGTCGATCCCCAATATCGAGGGTGAACTGGAGGCGAAGTGTCTCTGTCCAGATGGCTATGATCGTTCTGCAAACGGTGACTGTCTGCCTCTCAGCGACCCGACTACAACAGATCCTGATGGGTCGTCACTCAAAGACGAAGGCGTGGTATGTTGTCATATCATAGCACTATTACTACGTTCTAAACAGGTGATTAAATAACACAGATATTGTAGAATTATGGATAAGTACTACATTAGTACTGCTCTGTTTGTCGTTTGGAAAGTCAACAAAAAATATGCAGTAGTTTAAACAATTACTAATATTCCCTTGTTGCAGGATTTGTCGCACGTCGGTGTTGCATGGATGAAAGAGCGTTGTGATGACGGAGATGGTTGCCTAAATGGCGGACAGTGCAAGGATATTAAGAATGAACATGGCCGAGTGACGAAGATAATCTGCAAGTTTGTGCATTTTTGTCGAAAAGCATACGTTTATTTTCCACTTTTCGCTCCACCTTCCAACATTCGATATGTTATTCCTATTCAGATGTGAAACTCCATATGAAGGATATCGATGTGAACGTTTGAATCCAATCAAGGAACGAGCAGAGCAGTTGGCTGGTTCATCACGGCCACATTGGTTGGCCCTATTCACATTTATGCTTCTGATTTTACTGGTCCTTATCTTCATCTTTTCATATCGCCGAATCGATATGGTCAGGTAGGCAAAAATTGTTTGTTTTGAAATCAATAGCGGATATAAACGTGTATTTTTAAAGCGACATATCTGAGCTGAGAATAAACTTCATTCATTGAAATAAGAAACTACAAAAGTTGTCGAGCGCTTGAAGTGTAGTTTTGTTCCTTCAATGCTTCTAGCATCGGTATTGGGACGTGTGGCTGCGTGTTATCAAGGAAAAGGATTAGTCCCTTTCTGTTCACAAATAAGAGGCGCAGGGGTCGAAGTTTTTAGGGTACTTCGTGCATTTGCTGCATGTGCTTCGTTGCCACGATCGTTTCATTCGGATTCAAAAAGTTGTGGATTAAACCAGCAGCAAACCACCAAACGGTCAGTATGACGTCGTTTTGGTGCAATTTCGGCTTTGGGAAGTGTTATAAACCTTCACCGCGGTCCAATCACTGAGCCGAACGTCGACGGTTGTCGTAGAGGATCATTTCTCGTCGGATGTGACAACACAGTTGGAAACAGATTTTTATGTTTGAGCAGATGAGACCCCATCGCTACCTCAGAACGGTCATTTCCTTGGTAGTCATTTAATTCTTGCAGAACCCATTTGTCGAGCTTCTTCATCATTATTATTAGATGCTTTGGAACAGTTAAGATGCTTACCTTGAGTTCTTTTTCAACTTCTCGAACAACTGTGGATGTATTTTTTCCCACCAAGCCCTACAATTCATCATTGTCAATAGAACCCGTGACCTACCTTATCTTCAAGGTCCAGTTAGCCAGTGAAATTCTTTCGAACCATCACTGCCTTGCGCATTCGTTAACACTTCCTTAGCCACGCACCACAACTTTTCGAGCGCTGCAACCTAGTTCTAATTCGTAAAAGTAAACTGATCTTTGCAATGATATATAGCAGCACGGCATTGGAGAAAAAAAGCTTTTGCTAAAACATGGAGGATAGATAAGGGAAGAGGCTTTTGGCGTTGATCAATTCCTGACGGATGCGCGATGCATTCGACTTCACCAAGCACTGTTAGAGGCGATAGTATCGAGTCACGACTGCTGTCCTCCCATACAGGTTTGGTACCAGCTTGCCGATTCCGGAGAGATGGAAGGCATAGTGATGCTGGGGTGCGGAACCGAACTCATGTATATTACACAGCATATCTTACCACTGCTTGTTATCTTGTTAAAACGTATAGAAGAATGGAATTACACACCAGACATTGATTTTCCAATAACCTAATGTAATTTCACTGGAAAAAACAGGAAGCGTACGCATTCCTGGTCTTCTTGGTTTGGTGCTATAAAGTGGGTCTTTCTAGTAAAGCATCAAAAACCGTGACTTCGTTAGTAGAACGAAGAGTAGGGCGGATTCCTAACTCTCTGCCACAAGTTCGACACTTCATCGAATCCATGAGAACATGGGTGTCTTCGAAATTGACCACCGCGTAAGCTTCTCTTCTTTACATTTTACAAGATGAGTTAACGTTGTTTTGTATTATAGATCAGAACGCTCCAGATCTGGTATTTTTCGTACGGAATTCAACAATCCGTTGTTTTCCGATGATCCCTGCAATTCATCAGAGGAGCCGCGAAATGAGGTGGGCTGCATAATTATTTGAGCGGATTTTCTACTTTCTATTAGTGAATTAGCTATTCTACGAGTCATTAGAGAACGTAACTACGCTTTCGTTGAAGTTCATGAGCACAATGCTTCTAAGAAAGAAGTGGGAAAACGATTGCCTAATTCTCCGTGCTTTTTCAGTTAGCATACAGCAACCCGATGTTCGACGATGATACTCATGCGGCTCCTTTCTCTGGCATAAATGTTACTTATACTAATAAATTTGCTTCTTAATAAGTAACCCCAACTACTTGTTCTGTTACTTAAAACATCCTCTCAGCTGTGATATTTATAATCGCCGGTTTTATTTAGTTTGAAAGATGTATAAGATAAATCTATATTCTTTACAATAGTGATGTCCACCCTACCAAGAGAAAACGTGTGTAATAAACGTAGCAGTAGTAGGTTGTTATACACCGTAATGAATTCAGTTTTCTATTCTGCTCAACCCTGAAAAATGGTAAGAGTCGCACATGTCCAGTGAATTGTACGCTCAGAAGGCTGCACTAAAAACTGATTAAACTCAAAGCGCTAGGAACTACCCCAAAAAAAATCGGTGACATTGGCAGAATGAGATGTTAGGAACATTAACAGCGTTAGATGTTCTTTAGTGATTTTATACATCCATCCGCTTTCTGAACACAGACACGTTGAGCACGCTAAGTACATGCCGGTATGTTTCTTTTGCTACGCAATTTTTTGTATTGAATCAATAGCTTCTCCACTGCAGGTGTACTAAACGTTAGTGGGAAGTAGCCACCCATGTTATCCTACATACTAAAATTTATGAAAAGGAAGTTTTTGAGCCGTTTTCTTTTTCTCTCATCAGCTCTCCATCTGCACGTGGCGAAGTACTAACCCGCGAAGTCACAACCTCAAACAGAATTTAGGCAACCTTGTGAATACGTTTGCCAAATATTAGCTGATTTAAGTTAGCTTAAATTCAAACTCAACTTTTAAAGTTAACTTCAGTTTAGTTAGCTTGAGTTAGCGTTCAGAGTTAGTAAACCGATTAACATGACTCGAACCAAATAATCAAATGACACTGGAAAACCTGAACAACAACGGAATATTTATGAGGGTAGCGGAGTACGCCATAGAAAACCGTTGAAACAAAAGTTCAAGCCAAGAATACAGTTTTGATTACTATCGAATTACTAGATATTGGACAGTTCTCGGTGACAAAATGTTATTGAAATCATATGTACATAGTTCGAATTAATAAACCATCATTAGGGCAAAATAAGTGCGCTATAGACTAGAAAAAAAAACCAGAACAAGCTGATATGAGTGAACCTGGCCTGCTGTCTTAGTTATAGAAGGGCGCCGTTAAGCTAAACTTGCTCGAAGCAGGACTAAAATAGTGAAATATACGATATGAAAGAGCTCGACACAACTGAAACATGTCGTGAATTAGTTCTGGTCAACATGAACCAAAGAATACCTAGTAAAAGTGGTCTCATAGAAACAATGTAAGAAATGATGAAAACCTGAATGATCCGAAAGAAAAGTAGGAAAACTATCAACGAGAATGTGCATTCGATCACCGGTTTATTACGATGTGCATTACTGTCAAACATAAGAGCATACAGCATGACAATTAAAACAAAAACTAGCGATAAGAATAACAAAGCCTATGCTTTGAGCAATTTGTGTCACAGTGATCCACATTAATACAAACAAAAATGAGCTGAATACGGAAAAATACAGTTACAGTGAATTTAGCATTAAGGGCATGAAACTAATTGCCTTAGAAGTTATGAAATACACACCTGCAAGGTATATGTGTTTATATGCAGAGAACACCGGATTCCGCTAGGTTTCGCCTATTTTGCTTTACTAACTGGTAATCCTTTGTCTAAATGAAACTTGCAACCCAGTTAAGAAGGGTTAGTATAAATTTTAACGTCGCAACGTTGTAATCCAGAAATTAAACAGGCACTAATTGAACCTTCACGCAGTAAATTCAACTGGTGGGGTATCCTCTTCCTCCTCGAGATCACACACAGAAGTTCTTTTCTTTTCCGGAGTTTCCGGAGTATCAGTGTCAACATTTCCACTATCCTGCAAGTCGTAAGAGTCTTGAATGCATCAAATCAGTACAAAACATGAAACTTACTATTAAGTTATACAACTTTTTGAAACAACAATGATCAAAAACAGGATTCTTTTGTATTTACGATCTGAAACATGAAATTTTCTCACTTCATATTTTATACGACCCGTCATTACATCCACGGCGAGGATCCCAGCAGTTCTTGAATTCGATTCGTTTTCCTCGCATTCATCGTCTAACCGGACTAGGGCATTCCACAGTCCACAGGGTAGAACAGAAGACAGCGTTGCGCAGGAGGTCGAACTAGCGCCTTTGCGTCCTGATCGACAGCATCACTAACTAGTGCCTTACCCCCCTTTTTGCTACACAACATTCTAAGGCTTGTGAAGAAAATCACCATTGCTTTATTCTATCTATGAGTTTCGACAAACATGCCACTACAGAAGTAATTCGAAATTCCATCTAATCATTAACTAAGACGTGGTTTCAGAACGAGCGGTGTGCACTTAGAACGGAAAATTTTCTACTGGCGCTTGATGACACTTGATCAAGAAAATGGTAAACAGAGCCCATTAGCAGCTATCGACGATCACGTGAAGGATAATAATAGACGTTGACACCCTATCTAAGGAGTTGCATAGTTCGATTTTAACCGGTCAACATTCATTAGTTGCTTCCAAAAGGTTAGGAAGGTGGAAAAACTTGATGCCTTACAAAATAAAGATAACAAACGGACGACAGAGAACGTTCAGCGTAATGCTGTGGCCTTTATTAAGCTTCTAAATCCATCCCAAATCCTAAATTGGATCAAAAGAATAAGATAGTGCATTTCTGAGCTAAGAACTTAACATATGAAGGAGGCACAGCGTTTACCGATCCTGCCGCTTGGGAAGATGCTTAGTCTTCAGCCTTTGTAGACCTCCTTTTTTTTGACAATAAGCTATAACTTTTCGATAAATAGAGGGTTTTAGGAGTTGTGATCAAAATAGGATTGTAGAAGACAGTTCGCTCTACCGTTCTATAAGTATGAATGATACACATGCTTCTATAAAACATATTTTACTGTAGGAAATAATATAAACACAACGTTGTCGACATTTGGAAGTGTTTCGCAACGCACGATGTGTTCATTCCGGTATTTTTATACTCACCCATTCCATGAAATAGCACTTATTCATCATAGCGATTATAATTGTAATAACCGTCAATCTGCAATGAAATTGTCAGTGAACTCGCTCCAGAAAGTCCTTGTACATTTTTTTTAACGTGGAGTTAGAGCGTTTATTGGCCGATGCACGCCATAATATCTGTGGTGGATACCACTGTTTACTAGAAATCTTGAGAAAGAGCCTTGTGATGTAAAATAAACCATCATCCACAAAGGAAAGCCCACACAAAAACCATTCGCGCTACATGATGTGGACGCCTATGGACGAACACGTTCATATCGTCCCTTATGTGTTAAACCGTACTCTCAACCCTCGGTAGTTTGCGGGTCCGCTCGCCGCAGTGGATTGAGTTCGGCCTCTAACAGTGACCCATAATCGCTTAAAATCTTAACAAACCGAAAGCGGCGCATCCCTTTAGAGTTCAATGTCCTATGCCTTTATAGAAAAAAATAGCTGTGCTATGTTCTACCTCATAGCTGAAATTTTCAAAAATCACTGGTGAAAACAGTAACAGAGTCAGATTTAAGAAATAAACTGGAGAGAAAAAACTATACCCAATTTGAGTAATAGAAACAAAATAGGATATGCAGTAGAACCAACCTTTCCATAATCCGCTCGAGAAGGTCTTGCACATTTGTTTACAAGACTTTCAAAACTCTGCTTCTGTAGCAATCCAACAATAACAACCTGGAATATTAATGAATGACAACTACAGCTTCTATGAATTACTGTACTTTCTTAATCCTTAAATATATTCACCACCACCCTCAACGCTGTGCAATAGGAACAGTTAATCCTACAAAACGCGATCATTTTCCTCCGCGACTTTTTATAACACTAGTATTATGCTAATACATGAAATGTTAACACTGAAAATTATTACTGAAGGTATTGCCGCATCATATCCTTAAATGAGCTCGGCGACAGCATATCCAGCAAGATTGTCATCAAATGTAAATAGCTTAATACAGAAAGCATACAAAAACCGAAAACCGATTAATGAATATAACCACGATGATGCAGACATATGAGCAAAACACTGCAATCCAGGTGTAATTCGAACCTGCGACTACTCTTTGCCGGGGCTCACATGCTGTCCACCGCACTAACTCCTGACCATTATTTTGTATTTCTCTAAACCAGTTTTGTTTTTTCTACTTCACATAATATGCCCAATGAAAAGAATAATACGCAGTAATTCAAGGTTAAACAATGTGATTTCAACTGCAGGTCCAGCTTAACTGGTTTCAATACCGGTTTGTGTTCTCCAGATCATTCCCGTTCACGGATCATTCCTGATAGCACTGACAGAGTGAAAAACTGGATGAAAGGAAGGGAATACCAAGGCCTTGGTTGCGTAATGGATAACACGTGAATCCTCGGCATGGGTAATTGCGGGTTCGAAGCTTATATGGGGTTCCGAATTTTGCCCGTATCTCAGCATCACTGCAATTATATTTCACATAATACCTTGCCACAAAAAAAAGCCAGTAAATAAAAGTAAAGCATTGTGATGAATGAATAGCTAATGATAATGGTGAATAAAAACTCAAATATTCCACCGAATTAGTTCAGAAAAACAGAAATATCTGAATTTTTCCTCGGTTTTTGACAGTGCATTTAGGGTCTTTCCGGTTAGCACGCGATGGATTTTTACGATATAGTTAAGTTCGCTGCACAACAAAGGGTCCTGACTGTAGAAAGGATAACCACAAAGTAGGGACCCATCAGAAAACGAAATGGTCTCCATGATTACCACGCTGCAATGCTCAACGCGTTAAGAATTCGTTAACTAGTTAACAGCTAATAACCCACTATGAAGTCTATCGAAAGAGATCACGAAAAAATCATACGTGTCAAGTAAAAACTGCCGCAACTGACCGTCATGTTATCACAGCCTACGCCTCCCATTTGTGCATCTGGTGCAAGACATCGTGTAAGTAATTCTTCACAAATCTGTAAGAAAAAAGTTGGACTGCCGTTTACAACATTGGAAGAAGAACAAATTAGAATCATAACCCTTTTTTATTTACTGTCTACTATAATTTTTAACGGCAGGGTACGATGTGAAATACAACTAAGATAAGGCTGAGATATTGGTAAAACTCCGGACCGCAGGTGTCTGCGGTGGTGAACGAACGCGCTGTTGTCCTTAACGGGGAGTAACCCGTTCACCACCACACCATGCGGTTCTTCGTTTCACCTGTTTCTCAGCTAGTTCTATTGATCGGGGCCATCGGTTTCGACTTCAGCATCAGCTTAAGTAGGTTCGTTGCCAACTTGGGCGATTCCCGTTATAAAATACCCAAACGAAGGACCCGAACAGTGTGATGGTGAACGCGTTACTCCCCGGAAAGGATAAGAGCACGTTCGCTCCCCACCGCAGTCACCTGCGGTCCAGAGGTTTGCCAATATCTCAACAAATTAGAATTCAATTTCATATTTCACAGATCTTCCTCTTCATGGATCTCCAACTATTTCATCCTACAGCAATGTGATGAACTCCTGCATGGTGAATAGGAGGTCATATAAAAACCAAAAGGGACCTTCCACTAACAATGGGAAACCAGTGGATTGAGAAGATGTACTTCTTGCCTCAACTGAACCCTAATAACACAATCAAGGAAAAAGATGTAATCAATGGTTGAGAAGCGACATAGACTGTAGTTAACACTCGCATTCCACAAAAATAAGGTCTTGCATAATTCTGCGAGGGTAGAGTAAGTTACTTATGTGTACACCAAGTATCAACGCCAAAGTTTGACAAGAATCCGCAAAGTATTAATCGCCAAAGAGTAGGAAAAAAAGGATACGCAACCCTCTCAAACTTCCTTCAAAGTGTCGTTCATTTCTCCTCATGGATAGCAGTTTTAAGGATTCCTTCCCCTTACTTCTAAAGAGCTCTGATAGCATTACTTAATACTAGCATGTAAAGACTTAAAACATCATAATTATTTCAATGAGGGTTCTACACATGTAGCGCACGAACACTAGCATCTAAGTTAGCTATTGATGATATGACGATTGCACTTAAAAAAATAAAACCAGCGGATATATGAGTTAACGACAAGGACCGATACCATCCATGGAATCTACTATTTCAGAACCCCTCCTCTCAACGTAGGATATCGTTGCTTCCAAGCAGAGAACATGATGACGACATAGACTTCATAATATTCAACCGTGGTATTGCCTAGTTAATCTTGCAGGTACCTTAAACTTCAACGAGAACGCAACATCATCGATCAATGTCGTTCCTTTTAAAAGCGTAGAAGCCGCGCACTTCAGGAAATTAAATCTCTGAACCGTGATTCATAAAATATAATTTTCTGCTTCCACTTTAATTGTAGAGTTTTTGAAAGAAACTGCTATTAAGCGTCGTCGCAGGCAAAGGCAGCAGAAAAGATCATGTATAAACATCACTCTAATCACTTAGACGGCTACGACTACAAGCTCTCGAGTTCAGGTGGGCTGAGGATCTTCACAGCAGTTTTCTCTTCCAAGATCCAGTATACTAGCAGCGAAAACCTATGTATCATAGGCGAACTTGCATCAAAAGGTGGTTATGATGACCTTTTGTTTTCGGCTGCTAATAGTCTCTCTTGAAGATTAACAAAACCCAGTCAAAATCAATAAACAGCAAAAATTGCCGCGCATGAAATCATAATTGGTCGAAACAAAAAATTCATTCTTCTTGCGGAATAACACTCCACCACATAATTGCACAACCACGGCTGCAGAAATTGGGTTACGCGACCGTGCCTCATTCACCACATTCAACGAATCACTCGCTAATTGTTAGCGATCAAACCACTGCATAAACTGCCTTTGAAGATGCTTTGCAGGAAAAGTAACTAATGCTATGAAGAGTTTGATGCTTCCAGAACTTCCGGTCCTCCAAGCTGTTGGAATCAATAACCCTCCATGCTGTTCGCTATAGATTGCACTGTTGGCTTTTCCGATCAAAAAAGTCGTTTTTGAAAAAGCCGGATTTGAATATTTAATGCTCTGACGAACACCTTGATGACTTGCCGCCACAATCACACTCTTTAATCACCAAGGTAATAGGATAAACATACCGTTTGAGGATCCCTCTGTTCGGCAAACCTTTCTCGAACAAAATCTACGACTTCTTGGTTGCTAAGCACATCCCAAATTCCATCACAAGCCAGTACCAAAAATTCATGATCCTCCGTAACGTTTTCCGAAATGACGTCCGGAAACGCTAAAGAAAAACATCCATTGTGCTGATGAAGAGAAAAGTTAAACATTTCGACACAATGTTGTCGCGCTTCATATCTGTATGTCTCGTTATATACACACTAACATGAATCTGGGATTTAGTCATATATTCAACCATGACAAAATTCAAAGTGAGTGCAGCTGTGATTTAACGAACTAATTCAATAGAATTCATTACCATACATTTGTCATCGAAGAAAGTGTCTCTGCAAAGAACTAAATGACACCTGCTTGGACCTAATTTATATGGAGCGAGAAGAACAACTAATAGAAGAGGTGAATATGTGGAAATACAATACCACAACTGATAAAACTCGACAAAACATAAACAAATCTCACTCCGCTGTGGATAATACTGTTCAGATTATAGAGTCCGCTTAATCCACTCGGCACAATACCTGATTTTGATCTTCATATGGGACGAGAACGGCAAGTAATAGAAGAAGAGGTGAGCATGGCCACTGCCGTAAGGGACAACGGCTAGTTTTCATAACTCATGGACTTGGTGGTTTTGGACAATAAACGATAAATTTTCGATAACTAGTGGTCTCAAAGGGTTATAAACATGACAATATTGTAAAAAAAAAACTCCGATGTATCGTTCTCTGGGTATGAATGGTATGCATGCTACAATTTACTACGTGTTACTATGGTTCCTCATGCAAACATAATTGTTGTAGGCGGATGGAAGGGTTTTACAGTTTCAACTATCTATATCTGTATTTTCACACCTGAATATGTTCAAAAAAAGGAGTCCTTTGTAAATTATTAAGTGCAAATAATGGTTTCTTGGGTCTGACGCCTCCAACCATGGTCTGCTTAGTATATACATGGTGTGGTAGAAAATCTTCTAGAACCCGATGAACTGAATATGGACATCATACACATGATGTCCGTTCGCGCCGTAGCGTATGACCACTAAACGACCAAAATGTCGCGAATGCGCTTCGCTAAACAGGATAAAAAACATAGAGCTCTCGGCGATGATCAATCTCTGTGAGATGCGCCATGAATTCGACTTCATTAAGTATCGTTGGAAGTGATTGGACGCACATATGGCCTTTTACAATAACTCGCGGTGGCCCACCGATGTATCGAGCCAGTATTGCTATCCTCCTAGATAAGTCTGGTAGCAATTTGCCGACCCCAGCGAAATGAAGGGCTTGGTGGGCCTGGAGCTCGGGGATCAAACCCAAGTTTATTGCAGGGCGCATTCGACTACTGCTCCACACTCGCTCCTCGCGAAATAGAAGGGAATAAGATACCTCTTTAATACACGGTTATCCGGAACTCAATACAAGATTTAAGATTTCATTTCCATTGTATACGGCTCAATAAGTCTTTTTCTACTGTATGTTATTGAAAAGCTCATATTATAAAAGCTTGCTTTGTATAAATGGATTGTAATATAAATTGCTCCTCGACAAATATTATGATTTAGAAACGGGATGTTAAAATACTAATTCCGACAAAATTGCTTTCACGAATTCAGACTCGGACGCAATATAGCGCAAGCGAAAGAAACTATTAAGGAGGCGTGGATCAAGGAAGTTTTACCGGACGCCCATTATAACGCACAGCAACTGTTCTTCCAAAAATTTTACCAGCTCGAACTCGACCTCGAAAGTAACGAAAGCCGCAGACGTTTTTCTGCTATTGATGACGATGAATTGAAGGCTCTGGTGGGAATAAACATATACACAGCCGTTTGAGAAGACTTTAGAAAAACTAGGTGTAAGCATCACAACTGTTTCAGTGTCTAAAGAAGATTTGAAAGCCGTGATAGTTCAACACTTTTCTACCTAAATAACTGGATGCCGTACGAATTCACAACACGTCGAACTATGGGATTCTCGGCCACAAGTCGCATTACGGACGCTACAAAAGAATGGGGCTACAAACTCTGCTTCGCCCACCATACTCGCCAGACCTCTCGGCTACCAATTACCATTTATCCAATGACCTTCACAACTTCATGTGCGGCAAACGCTTCAATAATCAAGCGAGGCCGAAACGGCCCTAGGCGACTTCATCGCTTCCAGAATTCCATATTTTTAAGTAACTGCAATGGACAGATTTGTTTCTTGTAGATAAAATCTGTAGATTCTAATGATTTTCATTTCCATTCAAGAAGCTTGTTCTGAGTCGAGATACGTCGTTTTAAAAAAACAGGCTAAAAAGCTACAGTGATTTCCGAACAACCAAAATATTGGAATTAAATAGCTAGCGAAAACGTGCTTAAACGCTTTAGAATTAGGAAACATGTATCTTTTTTTTGAAAAAAACCTTTATATTCCAATGGTGTCAACCCCACTTAATAAAGTTTACTAGAAGCCTTCATGTATTTTTATCACGCTGGTTAGGCTCAAACTGTTTTGGACACACGTGAGTAGTACAAGACTACATATTAGGTTTTATGTGTTAGTCTTCAGCAGAATACATAAAATGCTGTTCAACAGCTGAAAATTCGCCACAGACAAAAAGAAGAAAAAGAACCCTGAGAGATATCCTATTAAGAAAAGTATAATTACGACTTACTAACCGGTAACGATTTGTTCTTCTGGTGGAATTGCTTCATTTCGCTTAAACACGAAGTCACCAAGAGCTCGCGAAAGAGCGAGATTGCCATTTACTCGGTTAAATTCTACCCATCCACCTGCTGCAAGGATCCGTTTCGCCTAGAAGTATTTCACTGAGCAACTGAGAAACGATACATGACAGCCAGATAACACGACTTTTTTACCTAAATTTAGATAATATAGACAGCACACTTTCTTCGAAAGCTTACACGAGGCAAAAAAATAATATCTACAGTATCTCTGAGTTTATTTACGATAAAAAAAACAGGGTATGCATGTGGCAAAAAATACAAGCAATAACTCTCACGACCGACTTTCTATTAACCTTGGCATTGATCAAGTAATTCTTCGTATTTTTGTTGAGCAAACACGAGGTGTTATTTTTATTCTTTATTCACAAATAAGCTGACGTTTCGGCGGATTTCGCCTTCCTCAGAGCCTGGAAAGGTCAAGTTGACAGCAATCTATTCAGGCAAACACCTCAATAACCAAACTATGGTGTTTGACCGAATAGATTGCTGTCAACTTGACCTTTCCAGACTCTGAGGAAGGCGAAATCCGCCGAAACGTCAGCTTATTTGTGAATAAAGAATAAAAATAACCCAACGCGTTTGCTCAACAAGAATACGAAGAACAACAAGCAATCCAAATCGCATGCATAGGCACATTTCCACTATAAAATAGTCGTAAGAATCCGTAAAAATAAAGACGCGGACGACAATTGTATAAAAGGTGTTATCATTAAAAACTGCAGACTAAACTAACGCTTACTTCCATCTCGTTGGCCGGTTTGTGATCAAATGACAATGGTTTCGCTTCTCCACATACTGACACAACGGCGCGAGAATCTCCAACATTTGCTGTAATATCAGTGTAGAATACAAACAGAAGCAGGATAACAATAAACAAAAACAGCATTACAACTGCCAAAACAGTGCAAAACGACAACTTTATGACTGCACAAGGACTTACCACAATGTATGACGTCATCCCTTACTAAGACTACAACTGCTGTGGCCCCAGAAACGTCATCTCGCATCTGGTCATCACAACGCATTTGCTCATCAAGTGCCAGGAAACCTTTTCGAAGTGCTTCCGGCAAATTGCCTTGAGCTTAAATACAGAAAAACCATTAGAACCACAGTTTTTTAAATTCACAAAATTTGTTAGAGTCAACTGCGATACTTCCTTATTTTCTCATAAGTTCTGTTCCCAATCGTTAAGCGCTCATTGTTGCCCACAGATCATTTCAAAAACGAAAAAAAACCAAAAACATTCAAGAACGCTGTAACTTGAAGCCAAAGCTAAACATGCTCAGATTCATTTAGCCATAACACTTAGCCTTCTCGTTCGCTTAGGAAATAGATGTTGTAGCCGATACAGCATGATGCAGTTAATAAGGGTTCGAATGATTTCTGAAATAAATTTAACCCCGTGATTATGAGAATACACCCATGTTACCAAAACAGAGTACGCTAACAACCCCAGTTCTACGATTTCAACACTATGCTATAGACTCAGAGACACTCGAATCTGAACTGAGGAAAGGTCTTTGTTTCCCTTACTAGATTTCCCAATGACTTAGACAAAATGCGTACCGTAATCAGGCTGTTGCAAAACCTGCTTGTGCAGGTTGATACCAGCGAACTGTGATGCCTTCGGACCGCCATGACCATCATATACCGCGAAAAATGCACATCGTGGGTCGTCCGGTAATGATAGTAAATGCGTATGAGCGTCTTCCATATCTGCTTTTAAAATTAAGAGCGTCCTATTACTTGTTGAAACTCGTAAAACGGCATTATTGTTCATAATCAGAAACAGTAAAATCACCAATATGTCAGGGAATATTTAACTCACTAATTCGCCATCCTTGCATACATGAACTACCAACTGTGAACAATTCATTCACACATGATGCCGATTCCTTTGTTGTCACCGGCTCACTCAACGTCTGTCCCATCTATGAGTATCCAGAGTGAGAGTAAGAACTACCTAAAAGTTTCCCTAAAAGCATGATTTCAAGAAAACGTAAAAAGAAAAAACTAAAAGAGTCCAATGAAAGAAAAGTGGTACATAATTAAACACAGATAGCGAGAACACGGAAAGAACGACCATCAAGGACACCGCAATTCGAAAATCATGCTGCTCTCTTAGATCGTATCAAGGGAAACCTTGCAAATAGTAACGCCGCTTCATGTCTATCGTTTGAAGACTGATTAATTCTCAACAGGTAACATCTAAGCACACCAAGAATAATCGGAAGCTTTAGAATTACTGACGTTGGTGCAACAACTTCGAGAAACTATACGATTCTCGAAGGAAATGAATTCCATTACATAGATAGAGCAAAACAACGACTTCGCTTAGAAACTATAGCTACACCCGAAAAAGTCATTATAACGTAGAAACATATTGTCAAAGTCTCAAATCAAAAATTTTGCAACGTATTCGAATGTTTTAAGAAACTCAGTCATTTGTTTTCTCCAACTTCATTTCCCTGTCACAAAAGGAGCTACGCAAAAGACATGGAGTATATGTCGAAAAGGGATAGTTGAATTCCCTAAAATGGCAAAAATAATTGCGCAACAGTTTCTATAAACTCTCAAAGATTTAAGCCTCAAAGCAACACTAGTCAACTACTGGAAGTCGTCAGTTGATCCCAATGCATCAATTCCACATATGTAACAGAAAAACTTTTATCTGCATTCTGTGAGCAATTTCAACAGCTATGAGCAAAGTATTTGACCAAAGAGGACTGCATCTACCACCATGAATTTGGGCCGTTCAAACAACAAGCGGAGAAGAGTAAGGCAGATCACTAACGTGTAACCGTATCCATCAAACCATACCATCCTTGTTAAGAAAAAAGAAAAGCCCTCTCCACGAATACTCGCGAATTGACCGCTAAGACTGACCACCGATGATTTAGGTCCGATTTAACAATTAGCCCATTACGAACGAAACTACACTTCTTAACGCAACCTCGCCCCTTCAAGGTGTAGCACTTCAAAATTCGCCAGAGTTAATGATAGTTGAATAAAATCCAAGGCGCAAAGCAAGTTATACCCAATCAAACTAAACACCGTCAGTTAAGAAGGCAAGGCTGAAAAACATTTTGCTTCCAATAAAAATTAAAGGATAATCATCGCTCAACATGAAAGTGCTCTCTAGAACAACCACTAGCAAACTAATAGTGTTGTTGATAACGGTCGCCTCTCATTCCTCTGGTAGTCATCCCTGAGAATTATTTCATTTGGGCGGCACCTTTCTTTTCCACGTACTCATCAATCTGTCGTGTAACTGTGAAAAAAAAAACCGAAATAAGGAGTGAAAAAATGGACTGTTGGTAAGGACTATAGTTCCGGTTTTCTTTCTCGAGTCTGTAAGAAGAAAGGAACTAAGAAAGGAATAAAACCATGGCAGAGCTACTATTCGGTGACAACTAAACAACAGTATAACACTAGTTGGGACCATTAAAATTCCTATACACTAAGTGCTAAAAGATAAATTAATACAAAGACCATAAGAACCCGTACGGGAAATGTAACATGACACTGACAGGATTCGAAATTTCACATACATAAATGACATTAATATCGTGCAATTCGTAAATATCTAGCACTTTCAGGATGACAATGTGTCATGAAACATGAAATGAACTGAGTTCTGAGCGTCACATGACTTGCAATAACGTGACCTGTTGCGAATTCGTGTGCGCAGTGGCCAAAAATATGTGGGACTCCGTCTCCTACTCTTACAATTTACCAGTAAATTTAACACCAAAAGCATAATCAAGTGGGGTAAGGGAAGTTTATTTGAATCGATATGCGGCGCCATGAGGAAGAACGACGACCATTCAAGAGGAGGACCTAAAACACCTGAACTGAGCTGATCGGCAATCCAGACAAAACATTCATGAATAATCCTGGCTCAAAACTACACTCTTGAGTTTTAAAGATACGGAGCAACACCATGAACTTTGTCAACTACGCAGGTTATGCACATATAACAAGGATCACAGCCAGTTGCTGTAACGCTATTTCGTCGTCAGGTGATGAACCGATAGCGTTAAATTCACGCCTAAAGCAAAACATTTGTTAGTTGTGCCGAAGGTGGATTGAATCCATGGCTTGAATCCGTAGCACTTGAGTGAACAGTACAATCGACTATAATATGTCGAATACTCGATGGCACGTACACATAATTATAAGCTATATCAAGGGATTTACTTGAACCAAAGCCTGCATCTGAACGGCAGACATTCACATGAGAAGTCACTCAGAGTAGTTTGCAAAGAAATGCTGTTCACCGTATGTCAAATCCAAACAAAACCGGTGAGTCACTCGCGGACCGAAGCGTGAGTGAATCTCACGAAAACGAAACCTTCAATAGAAAAGCACAATCGAATCTGACTCTTCATTTACTCGGAATTGTAGCCTCTCCAGCTACGTTTGTCAAATGATGAAGTTCACATTAACAGAAAAGAATTAGCTAGCAAAAAGTAAGCAACAGTACAAAACAGTAGTGATTCGGTGGCCTCAGTCTCGTTTCACTCTGCGATTCCCCATATCTTGACATACGCTTTACAAAATTGAGCTTCACTGTGCTGTTCCGTGCATCTATGCATAAAGCAAATCGATTCAAAGCGATAAAGCAAGGGATTCTGTGTCCACCATCAACACATAAGTGGGGCCATGTAGGAAATATCAATAAAAACGTGCTCGAAACGACTGGACACAACAGCAGACAAGCATATACAGCGCTGTTCTTGTTTCTTCTTCGTGCAGACCGACCCTGGAAAAGAGGACCAGCAGATCAGCGACGGTGCCGTTGAGGATCCACCGAACACCGCGCTAGCGGCTATTCCGCAACAGCTGTTAAGTCGCACAACGTGTCCGACACCTCGAATTGTCGACATTTTTCTGCATGCGCTATCGGCGGTGCTTAATCATCCATAAATTGGTGAATAAACTTATCTGATTAAATTGAAGAAAGTAGTAAAATAATAAAGTAATCGATTGGTATGAACAGTACGTGTACTCCACAGTTACAACTACTAGTGTAAATAAAACACTTTATATTTATTACCCGTAGAAAATATACCGCTTTAAAGCCCACCCGTTCTCAAGCAATATCTTAAAGCTATTGAAATGTAAGAAATTATTGATCAATGTTACCGAGACCTGATGAAAGTCAGGTTTTAAGACACTGCTTGCCACGCCACGTGCCAGCAAATGAAGTAGCGACTGCCACAGGATGCATTGGCCACCCAAAGTAGATCACATGGAGGCGGCAAACGATCAACACCCGCTCTCTTTGTAAAAGGACACCACCGACTGAAGCTCCCCATGCGAGCGGTGCTCTCCATACTGGATTCTACTCTACGCGGCCGTGAACATCCACATCGGGGCGAGGACCAGCTGCGGACCACTGACTCAGATCAAGCCGGCTCCGAGAAACGCCACGGCACCGAAACGTTAGCCGAATAAGAGTTTCTATACGAACAACGTGTTAGCTCAGTCATGTGGAAAATTATTGCTTTCAAGCAATTCGACATGTGAAACTCCTTCACATACGATTTCAGGCTGGTTGAAATGATGTCATGCATGCAACAAAATGGATTTAGGCTTAGACATATTTACTCGAAAGCAACACAGAACATAAAAGGATGGTCTACGAAATCATTTTCAAAGCACATGGTCTGCAGATTTTGGGAAACTTTTCTAGCGGAAATATAAGTGTTGATGATGGAAGGTTGATGGCCTCCATTAACATCCGACGATGATAATCTAAAGGCAAGGATCGGAGCCCATTCTCTAACAACAATTGTAAGAGTTAAAGAAAAGCTCAGTGATAATCTTTTTCTGTGAATAATCGGTTGTTCTTTCAAACACACTATGAACGCGGTAAAGGAAAAGGGAAGAATGGAACCTATACCACAACCAAAGACGTTAAGTGCTGCGATTGGACCTTAATGAAGCTCCTAAAGATTTTCGAAAACCAGAATCAAATTGGCACCGAAAAAAGTTATAATCATTTCTCGGTGGGATGCAACCGGTTTAATCCATCACAGCTTTCTAAATATCTGCGAAACAACCACTACATAGAAACAATGTCATGAAATCGATAAAAACCTTCACAGACTGCAGAATGAGTACCTTTATCCAGCAGTGACAAACTATATGTTGCATAAATAAAGTGGTAGAAGTTGGACGAACTGAGCTACAAAGTGTCACGTCTTCCAGGGTTCTGGTAGGACCATCATTGCTTCTAAAAATTTTCGGTAATGAAGCCGCTTTTGAAAATGCCATCAATGAATTAGTTCTAGGGAAATAAAGTTCTACATTACTGGAATTGAACTAATTGGCAAAAATTAGTAGAATCCAGCTTTATACTCTGACTAATAAAGCTTTTTAAACCCAGTTATAGCATTTCAAAGCTGTTCAAAAACGATGTTGGCAGCAATCTAATGGTTCGGAATTCCAGTTCTCTATTCCGACATGCCATACTAGTCGCATGACCCTAACTATAATAAAATCGAGAGTCAATGGTACGAAACTTAAAGACGTTTCTCACTACTTCAACCGCGTTCTAACAAGCTTTCAAAGGTACCTGCATTCCAGTCATTAGCTCTGGATCTGCCTAGTTCATCAACCGACTTACACAGTGATTAACCAGATCAAAGGTGACAAAGGTGAATAGTAAGAAAGTGACAAATAATAAATTATAGAAATGAATACGTGTAATGATGGTAGAAAGTTACTAGATGGTAGGACTTGTGTGATAGGGTACTAGACCTGCTGTAGAGGGGACCATAAAACCCCATTGAAAATTAAGTAATCTAGGCCGTTTTGGTCCGACAAAATTTACTACGAGAGCGGAAACCACAAAATGAGAAAACAATCCTATGAAACCATTTCCCTATAGCTGTGGAAAGGAATATTTATAAACGAGACGGGA